TTTTCTTAAGCGTTGTAGCTATATAATTTCAAACATCCTCAAGAGCTATAACACATCTGCAGCAGAACTGGATATGAAGACAAAATTGCTGGACAGGAACACTTTAATTGTCCACTAATCTTCAGATTTCCTGCCATGTTTTAAAAAACTTTATTTGTGAAAACCTTCAGCGTGGCGGACAGCTGGCCGCCTTAGGCGGCTAGTATATATATATATATCAAATAGTAGGCAACTTACAGCAAATATTCTATTTTCATTTTTATTTGGTTGCCACAGGAAAGTTGACTAATTAATCCTTATTAAAGCCTATAGAATAAAGGCATCCAAAAACCTTTACAAAAAATATCTTTTTCTTTGCTTTTATTTATAGGTACTGTAAACTTTGTCTTTGCCTCTTTTTCATTCCAGCTTTGTCCAGGTGCTCAAGTACAACATTTTGTTTGTGTCGAAAACTTTCTGATAAGCTTTACTTTTAAGGCGATCAAGAAAGTATATTAAAGCCACTGCATAAATTCTAAAATAAACCTTGAAAAGGTGAATTTATCCTCAATTTATAAATGCTTTATTCTTTTGATTTGAGAATGATAATTCATCCTCGATTGCGGTAGTTTTCTTTAGGCCTCCTTTGCTAAAAGTGATTCAATATCGATATAAAAGGGTTGTTTATGCAAACCTCATAGCATGTTCCATGGCAGTTCAGTCCAAATTCATTACTGTATGTAGTTTCTTTGAAGAATTTAAGTATAATTGCTGGCCGTGTGAGAAGCATTCAAATTTAGATATGAAGGAGGGAAAGAATCGGTTACGAAAAATTGATTTATTATGTATATCTTATTATAATGAACACGTTCACATTGTAAAATTGTAAAATAAAGGAATGAAGGTCTGTTAAGGGGATCCAGAGAAATATTTTTGTTCCCTTCTCATCCAGAATTTCTATAAAGATATCAATTCAACGGTTGGGACTGAGAGGCCAACCCCCCCCCCCAGTCTCATTCGAAATTAAAAGTAAGGGAATTGTTCCCAACGGACAGTTAGGAGCTTGGGAAGAGATCCATGGTTGGCGATTTATCGAAGGACAACATAGACGAAAATAAAGCTAACCTCCCATAATCAATATTAAATTTAAAAATAATTTGCTGAAAGCGAATCCCCCAAAAGGCTGAGAATTAGTATAATCATGTAACTGAAATATTTTTGTAGTAAGAAATAAAGAATAACGAGTTATCAATAGATTTTGTTTCCGATTTAGTCGGTAAAAATAAGCCGCGTAATATAAATGAGTTTTACATTTGTATTGTAATGAAAAGTTAGCCGTTACATTGATTGTTAAGAAAAAGAATAAAATATTTATTTTTATGAAATGTAATAAAAAATAAATAATTGGTTTAGTTTAAATAAAATTCGATTAAGAATGATTAAAAAATAAGTTTAAGAAATTTTAAAAGCTAGGATATATGTAATGGCTATTGTGGCATCACAGCGTGTAATAGTAAAATTTAACGTTATTTCAAGTTTGTGTGGTTTATTGGCTAATCATTTATAAACTTTGTAGTGCTTATTGTGATAAAGGTTGTTGCTGACTTTAAAATTAACCTTACCCTGCTGTCTAGGATATGTAGAATGATCATTATGGAACAATAAAATAAGTTTTTATTTAACCTCCTCAGGACCACAATTCAGGACCGGCGAAAGCAAAAATAAGTGACTTACGCACAGAACAGGGCGATTTTTTCAGGTAAGCCTAATTTCATTTAAAAATTCATATAAAATTATGACTACAATTAAATATGTTACGTAACTACCACTACGATTATAAAACATCAGTTCACTAGTATATAAGACATGTTAACTTGATTCAATCTTGAGGTACCTACTGATAGATGAAGGTTTGCATTATCTAATGGTCTTTCATCACATTGGTAAAATGTGGAGGCGATATTATCACGCCTACTTCGATGAATGGTCCACATTGAACAGTTGACTTGATATTTGTGACTGCGTCTTCGTCCTCCTAGCGCCGTTGCTTCTCAGTCTCATTTATACTCAACAGTATCCTGCACACTCGACTGCTAATAGGAACACAGGAATGACCACACACGCAACCATGAACTTAATCCAGCTCTCATGACTAAGATCCAGTGACCTTAATCCAGCTCTCCCTGTCTTTCACAAATACAGCAACTAATGGTATTCGTTCGTAATGAAATTCTGGTGGGGGAGTATTGTGGTAGCTACCACTACGATTATTAAGCATCAGTTGACTAGTATATAAGACATGCTAACTTGATTCAATCTTGAGGTACCTATTGATAGATGAAGGTTGGCATGATCTGAAGCTCTTTCCCCACAATGCGCTGATATTTACAGTTAATTATCATTTATTATATCTGTGTATAGTGTAATAAAATTTTCTCTTTTTTTAAAAAAAAACTGCAAATCTGAACTAAAACTGCAAACAACAAAGTTACACCTAATAAGCATACCATCTTTCTCCGACATAATCAAAATATAAACAAAAAATAGAACGTAGTAGTTCTCGTGCCTAATTCATTAATCCTCTCGAAAAAGCCGATCACGTGCAGTTGCTTATTACTTAAAGTTCACTGCATCAAATAACTATATTAATTATAAATACTCGGAACTAAAAGCGCTTATTGAGGTATAAACACTTACGACATCATCCGAAATTATAAACTGATTTTAACTACTATTTAGTATCGTTTTTAAATTGAAACAAAATGTTTCAAATTTAAATCATGTTCTAGTTAGTGATCATGGGCTGCTGGAGTCGCAAATGCTTGTATCATATATGATACCGTGGGCCTTGAAAGGAAAATCGCGTCATAACGCATATGTGATCATGGCGTGTTCAAACTACTCTTAAATCCACTTGAAAGATTATTTATAAGGTTATTTGTATGTATTATGTAAGTTTGAAAATAAACTTACATCAGATATTCTTGCGCCATCTTTTGTTCGTACAACTCTATCATTCTCCTTTTCACATAAATCAATTTTATTACCTAAAATCAAAACTATCGTTTCCTCCGAAGTTCCTTCCTAGAAAAAGAAATTATAAATGAATCACGTGTATATATTTATATATTGTAATTATTTTTATTTTATTGTGTATAGGTATAAATAAACACAATGCTTTTAATTCCTTATTGGAAAAAGCTTTGAGAATTTCTTGGATTCTGAAACCAATAGCGAAGAGAAAAAAACTAAGAAAGAAAAAATATATATTTTAAAAAAAAGAAAGAAAGAACTGATTTCAAAAAAAATAAATTACATGCCCTATACATAGCTTTCGACGCCTAGTGTTGTTTTGTTAGGTTTATTTTTCGTTCGGTGAGCTTATGTATGAAATAGAGCTATTGAGCTTGACAAAAAGTATGAATTTCCCATTTAAGTATGGTAGCTCACAATTTCTTACTTTAATGCTATTCATCCAATTTCTCATATTTTTGAACGATGTTTCGCATGTGACGTCATATACCAGAATGATGCCATCAGTTTTTCGAAAATATTGCTGCGTCATGCTTCGGAATCTGTTGTGAAGAAAAAGTTAAAAAAATTAAATTATGAAGGAAATATAAATTACTTCAATAGTTAATATAGTTGAGAATTCAATTTTAAAATAAAAATTAAATTTTAAAATAATAATTAAATTTTAAAATAATAATTAAATTTTAAAATAATAATTAATTTTAAAATAATAATTAAATTTTAAAATAATAATTAAATAATAATCTAAACGTTGCGAATTTAACCATACCTTTCTTGTCCGGCTGTATCCCATAGTTGGAGAGCTATTCTTTCACCTTCAAGCTCGAGAGTTTTTATTTGAAAATCAACCCCTAATAACATATAATATGCATTTATTTCTACAGAAGTTGAAAGTTATTTGTATTCACTAAAAATTAATTCCGTTTCATTTTTGCAGAAGGCCGAGAGTAATATTAAGTCAAGTATATATCATGCAAATCTATTTTTCAGAAAAACTTATATGAATAAAACCAACCGGCATCAACGTAACTTTATAAGAAAATATCTTGCACTTAACAGCAGGATTTAAAACCTATGGTGTGTCGTCTATGAGAACCAAATGTCGTCTAACATAATTTACGTCCACACTGTGATCAGTGTAGACGTACATATAAGAATCAACCACCGAGATGGTTATCACTGTACAGTTTGTGTGCCATTTTAGAGTTACACTTTACGGATGCTAAGTCAGTGTAAACTATAACCTTTCTAAAACCGTAAGAATGTAGAAAACGCATGACATATCCATCTATTATTATGTTTACTAGATGAATTGTGAACAGGCTCTATATTCTATTAAGTTTTACAACTGAAATTAGGATTTAAGTTTCTATATTCCAGTTCGTGAGATTTTTTCACGTTTCATGCATTTAATCGGATTCCAAAGCATAAAGAAAACTATAAATATTAGAAACAATCAATAGATAAATTGAATGAAATGCTAGTTTTGAGTGTTATCACCTATTTTGGATATTTAATTTAACATTGAAATACTTCTTCGTGTAAATACTAGGGGGCTCAGCCTAATATTTGCTGCCGCTCCTCAACTTCCGAAAATTTCTACGCAATCTTATACGGTTTGCTTTGAAAACCGTGCTCGTTTTACCCGCTACTAAGTTAAACCCCTTGAAAATGTGTTCTAGCATAAAATGTAAAGAATTTAAATTAACTATTAAAACCTTTAAAACTAATTCCTCTTTAAAAACCTTAAGTTTTTAGTCAGTAATAAATTATTGGGAAAAAATTTAAATAACTAACATGCAATAGAAAATTTTTCAGAGCATCACAATGTATATTTTAGCGTATATAATTCCATTTTCATTAGAACTTTTTAATACCACTCTATTTGTTTTAATCACATCAAATAACAATTTAGAGAATTTTAAAAAAAATCGCTTTCTACTTAGAATTATAATTCGCGATCGCAGCGAACTATAGGGGGCGTTGCTGTATGTGACGAATACCTGCGATTTCCACATGAACAGCTGTTCAGTTGCTCTGGAGAAGTCGTCGAATTAACACGTCTCTTTCAAGATGGAGCTGAAATTAAGAATGTCCGAAGTTCTTGCCTTTATTGGTAAAAGTAGTATCGATACACGTAATTTCAAAGAAGGAGAGAAAATCGTTGAGGCAGGCCATTTAGTAAGTGTGGCCATAAAAGAAAAAGTCGATAATCATGTTGTAATAATTGCGTATTGTTTACAGGGATCAGGAATAGGAAAAGAACCTCACACTATTGAAGTTAAACTACAGGTAAATCTTGAAGAAGAAGAGTTCCTGATAAACAATGTGATCTGTTCCTGTGTTGCTGGAATCAGTGGCTCTTGTAAACATGCTGTAGCAGTACTGTTATTCTGTTCTCAGTAAGTACTTTGTGGATTCTCTTTGATAATATTACCATTTAGAATAGATCAGTAATTCTGTTGCGTTGCTAATTCCGTTATTCTATATAAATTTCAACCTATCTCTATTAACAAGTCCGTTTATTACTATTAAGAAAAAATATAGTTGAATATATTGAAATTGCTATTTTTTTTAATGTTCTTTATATGATGATGTTCGTATAATGATGATGTTCTTTTATAATGTTCTTTATGATATAAATTCAAGAATCTCAATTTTTAAAATTCGCATCTAAACAAGGAAAGTTTTGACAGAAGATTTTTAAAAATTATTAAAATTTGTCATACAAAAATTTTCCTGCATCTGAATTGTATACAATTCCTTATTTGAGATGTGATGATATCTTTTTGAATAATAATAATTTATTTCTTTCCTGATATAATAAAGTATATATATAGTTTTATCAGTATAATCAGAATTTGAATTCCTACAAGAAATAAAAAGACTATTTATTAAATATTTTTTATTTATTAAATATATGTCATGAATCATTTTTTAGGTAGAAATTTTTTTTCTTTTCATAACTAAGATTTTATTAGCTTCAGTCTGAATAGATGAAAATGCATGTATCAAAATCATGCAAATAAATAATTGGAATAAATTTTATTTGTATGAAATATCATTTATTTCTAATTGGTATAGGTATAAAATAATACGCGATAGCATTCAAAAAATTAACAAACATTAATTTTTTCGATGTAAATAAATGTATGAATAAAATGTTATCTATTAGACTTGAAAACATAAACCGCTGTGGTAAATTTTTTTAATTTCTTGAACTTAAAATAAAGTATGTAATGATGAAACTTATCTCTAAAAATTTATAAAATGCTTCATATTACTGATTTCTAGATGTATTTCTAACAAAAATCACAAGATTACTTTAACTTAAATAAATATTTAATTAAAATTGAATATTGTAAATTTAATTTTAAAGAAATGAAATCAACATATAACTGGGTAATATGCTTTTTACATAGAGTAGAAAAAAAAGCAAATAACAATTTAAAAGATAAGATTGCCTTAAGTAAATTAAACCATCTTTTGTTAAAGTGCCTGACTTGTATTTTAAAGAAGCACCATTGTTAGCTAATAGTTTGAAAATTAATTCAATAATAAAAAAAATCACTCATATAATTTAATATTATGTATTATATTTATATTAATAATTTAACTTGTATTAATAATTTAACTTTAATAATTCAATTTCACATTTACTAATTCAATATTAAATGTGAAATTGAATTAATACCGGAAAAAAAACACTTATTAAACAAAATATCAAAGAATTTTAAACCGACTTAATTCATTTCGATTGAATTTGTTTAAACTAAATAGTTTTATGAATGAATTTCATTTAGAATTTTGATATGAAATTTATAGTTATTCACTGCCATTAAAATTATGAATGAAAAAGAAAACAGTTAAAAACTAAAGTTTTGACAAATGTCAGAAATTTTAAACTTATTTTCTGAGCTTATTTAGAATCCAATTATGAGCCTGTTCAAATTATCCAATTCCTGAGTTGTTTAATCCAATGTATCTTCTCCATCTGGTATTTACAGTTTTATGAAATAATTTTTCTGGTTATTTTAAGGTTATTTTTGAAAATTAGAGATAGTTATATTATTCTCAAAACTTAAGTAAAGCAAATTATGTTTATATGCTTTAAAAAGAATAAAAAAAATTATAAAAACCCTGGTTTTGAGTATTTACCCAAGGCAGGAGTAAATATCCTACAGGCTGGTTATGCTACAGTAAATATCCTACAGAATTTACCTGACCCCCATCGATATGCCCTCTACTTATGTGTGTCGGTAAACTTATTGTCCTGGTAATTTTAATGTTTGAGATTTTTATTTAAGTTTAAGCCTCATTTCACCTTTTGTAAGAGTTTTCTTTAATTTAGAAGTTCTAACATAATGTGGGCCTAAAACAAATTTAAGAAAATTAATATTGAAGCATAAATCAATTATTGGCTACATTTGTCTAAGATATTACTGATTGTTGTTTCTTGGTTAGCATCGTAGCACACGCTTATGGGCCTTCAATGAAAGCTTCAGACTAAACGTGTTTTTTGTATCGTTAAAAGTTAATCTGAAAGATCGTGATTTATTTCAAACATCACAAGTATATGTGTATAATAATTTTGGATGGCATGTTTTTACAAGCTTGGTTTAAAAAGAAGTTGGAAGTAGGAACCCCAAAAAAGTCTTGTGATGAATTTTTGAGCCCTAGGCGCCATCTGTGCTCAGCTTTACAAGGTAAACCGGCCATATGGAACTGAAAACTAAACAGTTTTAAAAGAAAGCAATGTGGAAATTTTTTTTTCGAAAATTAAATGCAAAAAATATTATGGAAGTGAAGGTGAACCGCAAAGGGTCGCACTTTGTTTTTGGACAACAGCAATTTTCTAAAAACAAAGTGTGACCCTTTATTAAGAGTGCGCTAATTGAGAGTGAGTAGGAATAATTTATTTGATAATAATTGAATATGAATATAAAGTGTTAGTTTAATTTAAATGTTTTATACAAATGCAGATGTATTTTCTTATATGTATGTATATATTCAAAGGTATGTGTGAAAACTTGAAATAGGCAAATAGTTTTTTAAACACAGAAAGTGTGCCTCCCGCATTCCATGCCTATACTTTAAAGGGGATGAAATCACAATGGATTCTTTTATAACTGAGGAGAGGGTGAAGACATGGGGCCGGTCTTCTCTCATGATAACTTATTCGAGCCTTGAGGGTCATATGTCCAGTTGTTCTGACAGAAATTTATATGTCATCATTTGAATTTATTTTTGTCAAGTTATTTTTTCTCATATGTACTTTTTGCTTTTCAAGTTCATTTTTCTCATATAACGAGCGTTCTTATGCCTTAGGAATAATGTTCTGAAATTGGATGTCTTGTCCTCCACTGACCTAAAATGCAGCTGGAAATTCAAAAAGCCAAGAACTATGCTTAAGTTTAAAGCAGTGCCAGTGACAGATTTATGCTGCGTAAATGTAGTTAGAGAAATGAAAGATGATTTGACGGAAGAAGAAATCGAAAAAAAGAGACGGCGTATTGTTGATCTTCTGCCCGATTCTGCGTTTGGAAAGCTCTATTTACGGAAACGGCAAACTGTGGACCCTACCGTTTCAGTTTCAAATACGTAGGTTTTTTCTTCTTTAAGTTAAACTTTATGTGATATTTGAAAAATCTGCATATCTTGTTGGTTATCTCTTAATTCATTTGGTTTTAAGTACATTCATTACAATCACTTATGTATCTAGAGGGTTTTTTTTAAAAATCAAATGAGATTTGTAGATCTAACTCAGTGGCTTATAGATTAGTCTTTACTATCTCTGTTTTCAATAATCAAACTCTGCCATGTTATTTTGTTTGTTAAAAGACAAATTTATCTTGCATATCTTGTTAAGGAACTTAGTAAAAAAAATAACGAGCAAAAGTTTCATACTTTGAATTTCAAACATAAATTTATAGAATCTGTTTTCTGAAGAGAGAAATTGGTTAGCATCAGCTGTTGTTCCCCTACCTTTCAAGTTTTTGAAAAGCAAAGAAATAAGTGTTGGTTTATCCTTTTGTTATATTCTTTTATTTAAAAGTTACTTGTGGAGTTACAATGTGCTTATAGTGAAGCAAATTGCGATGGAAGGTATAAGTTAAGAAGAAAAGTTTGTTTTTTTTTTCTATGACACTGAAAAGTCTGAGAAATATTTTTTCTTTGTTTATCTTACATATGCAGTTTTCTAATAAATGTTTGCTAAAATAATGTTGTTATGATTTTTCTGAGACATTAATATTTTTATATTTTATTTTATTCAAGTTCTTTTTGTAAAGTATTTTTTCTCCAAGAAAATAATTTGAAAACTTGTAGCTGTGTTCATTCTTTAATAACTGTGTAATTTTTATTTCAGCTCTCAGCCATCTAGTTCGAAAGCAGTGACACCTTTAGAGGAATTGCTAGACTCCATATACAGAAACAATAAAATCAATGTCGCTTTCGATGTTCCTGGAAGCTGCGCTAAAGGGTATGTTATATATTAATATATATTAATTTTCATCGGTACACAATTTGTTATATAAAAAAAAAGTCGTTAGTTACTATTTTTATTAAAGAACTGGTGTTGATGGATAAATTCCAGAGGACATTATATGTTAAAATGATCCATGAAATTAAAAAATAAATTAGAACCATGTTTTAANAAAAAAATTCTCACAAAATTATCTTCATCGAAGCCGATGCTTTACATCCGGCGTTCAGTACTATTTCATATTGTTTTACAACACATGGTTTTAGTCCTCTGGTGGGAAAGACTTTAAAACAAAACTTACAACAGTTACTTTTCTCAACAACTGAAATTTAGAATAGTGTGATTAAGAAAAATATGCGAACTGTTTTCAATTTCAAATTAATATTGAAATGCACAGGTTTAGAGTTTTCTACAGTGAAAAACTTTCGGAACTTCAGTGTTCAAAAAAGTACACAAAAGCTAAACGTTAAGAACGTATTCAATGAGCGATCAAAGCGAAGATTGCCAGTCACTTTTATTTTATTTTATAACCGGCTCTGAACAGTAGACTCAATTCTGAGTTTACGACTATCAATATTAAACTCCATAGCATTGTAATTTTGAACCCAATCTAGAAGACAAAGTAACACCTGTATCAAGCATTGGGACAAACTGGTTTTAGTGGAGGATTCCTTGCAGTAGCCGTCGCTAAGATTCGAACCTGGGTAACCTTATTATCAGGAAAAAGCTCCATTTTCTGTGCCACCGTTTGTAACGCTGCATTAATTAAAAAAATTGCTACTTTTTCTTCTCAATTTTTTTCTGATTCTTTCAAAAGATTATTTTTATACAATTTTACGACCAAATTATCTAAATACTGTATAGCACAGTTGGGGTCACTCTTTGAACCAATAAGATTTGTACTAGTTTGTGAAAATCCATCCATCCGTACAAAAGTCATTCACGGTGGGTTTTTTTCCGCTATGTAAGCTCCAATTTCGATCCTTATTTGATAAAAATTAGACAAATTAATTCGATTAATCAGTTCAGTTCTAATCAATTGTGGAACTTGGAACATTTGATGTTAAAAAAATTCCCTCAAAAATCACAGCTCTAGTATTTTTTCGAAAAAAGATTGTTAAGTAAATAAAAATATTGATTAATAACTTACGTCTATTGATGTTTTCATTGTTGGCAGAATCTTTTTTAATACTGGAGGAGATGTTCTTGGAGAAGTTCGTCGTCTAGATGTACTTAGGCTTTTACCCCTAAAATAAAATAGTAGTAAGTTTTAAATATCCAATTGATGTTTTTTTATGAATAAAAAATTAAGCGAAAACCACATCAATTTCAGATTTTCTTTAAATTTGTTTATTTACTGAATTGCTGCTACGTAAAGAGTTGCGAAAAGACCGTTTGTTTGGGTTGCTTACACTTAAAAGTATCAAAATAGTTTTTTTAAAGTTTATTAAATTTGCAAAAGGTATAAAATTGTAAATTATATTATAAACCCAACGAATTAAACATGTTTAATACTATAAAAAACATGTTCTATCTCTTTTCAATACTTCTTTTGATAGCTACCAAGATCTTTCATGCCTTCGCTGTAGAGATACAGAAGGTTTTCTTGATAATTATTAAATTAACAGAAAACATCAAATTATAAACATCATGGTTTTCACAAATATTGCTGACAAATAAACTTAGGAATTTTGTTCAATACTTTATTAATTGAAACTTTATAGTTGATGCTTGATTAAGAATAACTCAGAAAACATTGGTTTGTGTATAGAAAATAAAGGAATATAAATACATCTAAAAAAATAAAATGTAATACGTACAGCAAACACTAACCTCGGAGCATTTGAGTTTCTGTCATACTTTGAATCCCCTTTCTTGCTCGATGGTATGTTTAGATTATTTTGGATGTCAGTGTCACTGGTAACCTCTTCCACGTATGCTTTTATACCAAATGTGTTCAATGATTTTATCTGTTTTTCGACGTAAGGGCTGTAAACAATAAATAAAGAGTCGGAATCATTCAAACTTAATTTGCAGCTTCTTATAAGAGAATTGGTTGCTAAAACCATTTAATTTCGCTCGTGATATATTTTTTAATTTTATTACCAGCGTTGAACAACCGACACAACTTAGGATTTACTGCTACTAATATTCAACTCCGTGGCCATGTAACTTTGAACCCAATTCAGAAGACAGAAGAACTCCTGGATCACGTATTTCATATTTTACTTTATAACCGTTTTTGAACAGCCGACCCAATTTTTGGGGTTTGCGACAACTAATGTTCAACTCCGTAGCCTTGTAATTTTGAACCCAATACAGCAGACAAGGGAACTCCTGGATCAAGTATTGGGAGAAATTTGCCTTCGTGGAGGACTTCTTGATGGAACTAACCGCATTTGCGTTACATGGTGAGGAAAACCATGAAAACTGCCCATGGTTAGCCTGACGGCAAGGGGAGTCTTACCCATGATCCGTCTACCACTGAGTATATTTCAAGTCAGCACTGTGATCGGTGCAAGCCGGATGCAGAATTCGTATCGACCAGCCATCGCTGGGATTCGAACCTGGTTAACCTTTTTGAAAGATGAATGCTCTATTCCTTGAGCCATCAAGGCTCTTGCTTGTGATATTTATGATATAATATGGGCCGTGGTATCCCAGTGGTCACAGGATCGGGCTTCGGTTCGAAGGGGCCGGGGTTCAATCGTCGACTCCACTAAAGATCCACCACATACGTGCGATATACATGCTCGTAAAATCTGTGGAATCGAAAGTCCTGTGGTCAATTGCTGAGCAGTATCAGATCTATGTCTTCTTCAGATCTATGTCTAAATTGAAGAAATGGTCTCAGGAACGAATGGTACTGTCATCTATCCATGAGGATTTGAGCTAAGACGTACTTTCACCATTGCGGTGCTCTCTTTTCAAACGATAGACGAGCCTTCATGGGTTAATTTCAAAAAGGTCAATGACTGGTGAGCTTGGCTTGTCCAAGTGTTATTAGAAACAACAACATGATATCATATACAATGATATCAAAAACTTAAATGTTCATTGACGATGGTGTTTAAAATATTTCTTTTCTGGAAGCTTTTAACTTCAGATAAAAAAAAAATTCAAGCAGAATTTCGCGAAATATATTATTGGACGTTTCAATTATAACTATAGTAGGTGGTGATCTTTTTCGTTATGGGGTTCACATATTTATTTTCCTCTGTATTCCATTTATTTATGCTAAATCAATTGTTCAGTCAATTTAACAAACAACTAACGTGATTTCAGGCTACATTATTAGCGAAGAAGAGAACAATAAAGCTACGAAAAAAACGCTATTTAACATTGGTTTTACATTACCTATGAAAATAGCTTATTTAGAACAACTTACTTCATACATTAATTAAAATTGATTAAAATAGTTTTTTATCAAAAGAAATTGATGAAAATAGTTTTTAATTAATTTAAGATAAATTTTTTGATCACGTGGATTTATTTTTAAAATTACCAGATTTTAATAGCTCATAATCATTACTTATAATTAATAGTAATTTTCTCACTGTAAGAAACAATACTTTTTTTTAACACTTAGTAATAACTTTTTTAATGAATACATTTAGAAAATAAGCTTGTCTTTTTAAATCTTTTTTAGTTAAATCTAATAATTTTCCTAAGTTTTACATGTACCAAAATTGCCAACTGCCAAGTAAAAAATTAAAGATCTACTTTTCGAATCAAATTATCTTTTTTCTGTTTAGAGTATTATCGTAAATTTTTACTTAATTGTTTACTTAAGATACCGTAATATCTGAATTTTTAAAAACTAGTCATGATTTTTAAATGTTTTTATTTCATTTTAAATAAATTTTTTAAGTCTCAAGTAATCAAAAATAGCTTTGATCAAGTCTGCTTTATATAATTCGTGCTTTCTGAGACTATTTATGATTATTTTCTTGCAGAAATCGCTAAAAACATTTAAACAGCAAAGTAGATTTAAAAATTATCCAATGAAAGTATTTTTCTAAAACAATGCAGCTTAATCTGAAATACTTTTTTTTTAATTTTCATAAAAGCTAAAATAGTTTTTACGGTTGAAGCACATTAAAAATGTCATAAAACCTATACATAAACTCAAATTCCCTTAATTAATTTTTTTTTACAGTAAAATGTATATAACGCTGGTAAATGTATCATATTATGTTGATTATTCAAACATAAAAGCAAAATTAATACCAGAAAGACTGAAACTTAGTATGACCTATATTGCCCAAAAGCAGTCAAAATGACTGGATTGTGAAAAAATAAGTTGTGTATAAAGAAATTTGTTTAAAATCAATTTTTAATATTTTTCACATTATTTACAGTTATATAACAAGTTATTAGTAAATATTAATAATAAAAAAAATATATATCGTAAAGAAAGTCACAAAATTCTAAAAAATTGTGTTATTATATACATCATTGTGTTTTTAATTGAAATTAAAAAGCAGTCAATATGACTTTCTTGGGCTATCTAGTGTTAAGAAAAAGCAAAATACTGCTTGCGTTTGTACAAAACTTATAACTTCATTGAATTATTTTGAAATATCTAAAACGTTCTTTGAAACAATAAAATCATGTCATTATTAAGAATAATAATTATAATTAACTGAACCTTGTCGCATCATCGCTTGAATCTTGTTCCAAAGGATGAGATAAAGCATCACTTCTTCCTCTCTTCCTAGTCGTTTCCGTTTCAGACTTCTCTGTTAGATTCAAATCCTTAAGACCTAGACGCAGAATTTTTATTAAACATATTTCTCATTATTTTTAATTGATTTAGGTTAAAACAAGTGAAAATATTATATTTAGCATTTTAATAATTTATGGTTACGAAATAGATTACTAAACAGCGGTTTCTTTTTCTGCATTTAAGAAAAAATCTTTCCAACACAGTTCACTTCCAAACAATAATTTTTTCAAATTTATACTTATTAGTAATTATTTAAATCTAAGGGAAACAGTTATTCATCAATGAAATTTCTTAAATTTATAAAATCGATTATTGATAAATTTTTGAATATGAATTTTTAAAAAAAATTCAAACTATTTTTTATTTTATATTTTGGTACAAATGTAACAAATATAACAAAGATAAATGTACAAATCTAATTTCAAAAGCTTTCAAACACAGTTCACTTCCAAACAATAATTTTTCAAATTTATACTTATTAGTAATTATTTAAATCTAAGGGAAACAGTTATTCATCATTGAAATTTCTTAAATTTAAAATATCGATTATTGATAAATTTTTGAATATGAATTTTAAAAAAAAATTCAAACTACTTTTTTGGCTTTTACATTTCGGTACAGGTGTAACAAATATAATAAAGATAAATGTACTAATATAATTCTATAATCTAACAGGTATCTTAAAGTAACCATTAAACTGTTTTTAATAGTTAAAAAACATCAAAAATACATTTTTACTTGTAATTAGAATGTCAGAAAAGAATCTGTAAAAAGGACTCCAGAGTCACATTTACGTCAAATGGTTAATAGAGATTATTAAATAATATTTATTAATTGCACGATTAAACAAAAATCAGGTGTTCGATTTACTAATAATTAATGTGAGTGCTAAAATTTACAACTCTTTTTAAAAATTGAACAGAGATAAAGATTTAAATAGAATTTTTAGTGCTAATAATCAAAAATCGTTATAATTAAATTGGCATTTAACTTACCTACGTTTAAATCTTTCTCTACATTTGAAAACGGTGCGCTACTTCTTTCTGGTGATGCTTTAGTTTCATGTTTGGAACGAGCTCTCTGAAAATAAATAAAGTACTATGTCTACACTAGTTTTCCCACCGAATTTCGAATCACTGCTCAAATCCTCAATTAAAAAAACAAAATATTTAACATATAGTATTTTATAAAATAATTCTATAAAATTACATAGCTCAATATTATTAGTCAATTTAAAAAAATTTATATTTTAGAAAAGAAGTTTGGGTGTTGAAGAGAAAAATTCTGGTAGCATAGCTATTATAAGCGCATATCCAAGGAGTTTATCCAAACTTAAATAGTGATTATTTTGGTATATTTATTTGGTGTATTTATTTAACAATTATTTTAATTTCATTTCACGAGAGAATGGATCTGTAGTGTTTTATTAAAGAAAAAAACATGCGCAGATGCACACAACTTAATTTTTTAAAATAATATTTACTGTTTATAGGTTTACGAAAGGTAACTATATCATAAATCATCCAATAACGATGTAATGTCACGTAATTACTGAATAATATAACACAGGAACAACACTCTTAACTTTAAGTCTTTAATTTTGAATAGTCAAAACTACTGACGTAAAAATTACAGAAAAAAATATTAAAAAGATTACTGGTAATTACTGTTAATAAAGATTTCTGGTAAATACTGTTAAATAAATAACTTCAAAATACCTATGTAAATACTTTTATTAATTTTATACTAATGACAGCCATCGATATCTGGATCCTTTTTGCTTATTAATAATCATATCATGTGATTTTTTTCTCTGTCCAATGAGCATGCGAAAAACTGTAAGAAAACATTATTTTTCAATGATTTATAAAAACATTTTTTAAAAGTAAAAATTGGAAAACAACGTATATCCTTTCAACAAATAATAATATCTTATAAAAAGCAAATAAAACTTGGACTAAAACGTAATATAAGTTAACGTTCATACAGGCATTCGCCGAATTTGAGCAGTAAGTTTATTAAGTTTACCTTTGGACTCGGCGAGGCAGAACTTGCAATGAGCTGTTGAACAGTTTGAGCTGTAGTTTGAACGAGTTCATCTTTTTCATCTTGCAGCTGTTTGTTGACTTCCCTAATAAGACGAAAAATAATTGCTTTAAAATAATTATGAATACTCTTGGATAGTTTTAAAAATGGGACATAATGTTAAGGATGAAAAAGAGTTGTCTTGTAAAATATACATAAAAACACTTAAAAATAAACTAGATAAATAAATTAGATTGCTTGTACTGTTTGGCTTTGAGGAGAATTCCTGTAGAATATAAGTTTGGGATTATCTGTTGCTATGGTAACAAGAGAAAGTACATTTCTAATGGGGATGCATTGGAGGATTGACCACAAGGCAAGGCTTCTCACGGCTACCTGCACAAAGATCAAGACAAAATTATTCACCCCATATTCCTAGCCGAAGTGACTTCTTATCCTCGGAACCATAGTACACGTGACCATGGCGTTTCTTTATATATTTCCGCCTCTTAATTCTTTGTGTTGATTTATTTCGTAAATCACTTCTTATTTGCCATGCATTGGTATTTTATTTCGTTAATGTTTAACAAATTAGTATACGAGTTGCTATTGTTTTTTTTTCTTCTAAATATATGCTGTAGCATGTGTACGGTTGACTTAAAATTGATCTGATAATTTCAATCATTTATCCTTTCATATCCACTGTGAAGGAATTCTTTCAGCAACTTTGAAATTTAATTTAAATTAAAACAATGTTTTAAAATGATAAATTTAGAACAAGGTGAAAAACGGATTATATTCATTTCCCCAAATATGACGGTTGAATCACCATCTGTTGCATTTTGAGGTTTTGACAAATCAATGACGTGGAAAATCGTCTCTCTCCGTGAGTTATTACACTTTGAAGATAGGCCATGCTGGGGAAGAACTGTTCTTGTTCATGCGTAGACAAGGCGAACATAATAAAGAAGAATTTATTAAAGAAGTATTGATTGGACAGGAATTTCGAAGAAAAAAAAAACAGTTCTTCTCCAATTCAATTTTTTAATTTTATTTTCTCTCAGCATCAAAAATTGTTTGCTTTGTTTTGTTTTGAAATTTGTGGGAGATGAAAATGAATGCTTGTGATATTCACGTGTAATTTTATTTTTATGATTTTAATCACAAGATAGTTGCTAAACTTAACTATCTCAAACCATTAAATTCGTTTTTTTTCTCTTTTTTTTAAAGAACATTTATGGACATTAACCGTTTGTCTCTCTTTTACTAAAACCTACACTCGCTGCGATGTAATATAAGCCCACTATAGGTTTTAATCAGAGATTTTACTGTTTGTGATTTTAAAACGTTGATTTCAATGAAATTTAATTTATTCACAAAAGAATTTCCTACATTTTACTAGATTTACTTTGATGACTTAAAGAACAATGGAATTGTTGATAACTCAAAATTACATGAATAAAGCACAAATAAAAGTAGACTTATTATAGATTTGGTCTTATAAATAGGGAGATTCTAACACGAAATGACAGTAAAAAAGTAACGAAACAAACACGTTACAATACGAAATGTAATGTTGTATAAGAAAGTGCTTTAAAATGTAGGGGATACGGAACAATCTTAAACTAGATAATAAAGGAAGGAAGATCTTGTAAAGCTTGTTCCTCTTCCTCTATTAGTTAAACTACTTTTTTTCTTATTGCAACGTGTTTGTCTCCTTATTCTTCTACCCCCACTCTTATTTTGGGTACAGGCACTGAGGAAGGTTCGAGTTTATAAAACTGAAATTATAAATATATCTATCTCTGTACCTTTATTTGTGCTTTATTTGCATTGTTTCTGCTTAATTTATGCGTTTCACAGAGTATACCCTATCCCGATTCGAATAGGAATTATTGTACTTCGATGCAAGTGACAGGTAGTAACGATGAATATCTAAAAACATTAAAAGATGTTTTTGAAATGATTAAATAAAACTATAAATGGAACATTGTGATTACATTCATTAATCACCGCAAACAATACTTTTTCATTCTTATAAATGGATTGTTGATTAATTGATTTTAATGTGACACAAATCATGTGTTTTCTTCTTATTTTTTTAATGAATTTGAAAAATAACGTAGAAAGAAATTTATAGAGGAAAAATAACAAACTGGAAAGAACTTCCAGCAGTTACCGTATCATAAACAAATTGCAATATCTATGTTTACAAGAGATGCTACAAAAAGGATATCTGCTTTTTTAAACTTTCATTTGCGTTTTACATGTTATTTCTGCTTAATTATATCCCAGCTTAAAGGTAACCCTGTTTTATTCGCAATTTCCCCATTCTTTTAATTATTTCAAACTTAGAAACAGGAATTGTTTGACTTATTGGAATTTTTAGTTTCCACTTACTTGAGATGATTTAATTCTGAAACCAAATTTTCTCGCTCTATGGCAATTCCTTCAGATACTCTTATAGCCGCTCTATTAAAAGATAGAAGCATATATATCACCATCAATATATAAAACGACGGCATTCTATTGAATGATTATTAATTGCATTTGTATACAATGTCTGACATATTTCGGCGAAATAAGAAAACTGAGAATAATTATATTACTTTTCCTAGTNATAAACAAGTAACAATATCTATGTTTACAAGAAATGTTACAAAAAGGATATCTGCTTTTTTAAACTTTTCATTTGCGTTTTATATGTTATTTCTACTTAATTATATCCCAGCTTAAAGGGAACCTTGTTTTATTCGTAATTTCCCCATTCTTTTAATTATTTCAAACTTAGAAACATGAATTGTTTGACTTATTGGAATTTTTAGTTTCCACTTACTTGAGATGATTTAATTCTGAAACCAAATTTTCTCGCTCTATGGCAATTCCTTCAGATACTCTTATAGCCGCTCTATTAAAAGATAGAAGCATATATATCACCATCAATATATAAAACGACGGCATTCTATTGAATGATTATTAATTGCATTTGTATACAATGTCTGACATATTTCGGCGAAATAAGAAAACTGAGAATAATTATATTACTTTTCCTAGTCATTGTATAGAATGAAAATAGGTTTTTTCATTAGTCGTTGTATAGAATGCCTAAAAGGTGAGCCGCGATGGCTCAGGGGATAGAGCGTTCGCCTTCCAATGAGGCACACCGGGTTCGAATCCCAATCGATACGAATTCCGCATCCAGCTTGCACCGACCACAGTGCTGACAGGAAATATCCTCAGTGGTAGACGGATAATGGGTTAGAGTCCTCTAACCGCCAGGCTTACCGTGGGAGGTTCTCATGCTCTTCCACTTCATGTAACGCAAATACGGGTTGGCTCCATCAAAAAGTCCTCCACGAAGGCAAGTTTCTCTCACTACTCGATCCAGGAGTTCCCTTGTCCTTCTGGATTGGGTTCAAAATTGCAGGGCTACGAAGTTGAACATTAGTTGTCGTAACCTCATAAAATTGAGTCGGCTGCTCAACGACGGTTATAAAATAAAATGAAATGCCTAAAGGGTGTGTGATTTAATTCTGGTTTCATACTTTGCCGGTCAATTTTAGGCATTCCATACAATGCCTAAGCTTCACACATGGACGGCAACATAAGAGAATATTGTATATAAATAGGGAAATAAGGTCAAGTAGAAAAGCAATATTAATATCTTAGTTTCCAAGTCACAAATAGCACAATGCGGAAATGCTTAAAGTATTATATACTGTTTAATCTTCACTGTTGACTAGGTTTCTAAAAATATATGTTAAGAGCAATCCTTTCGAAACATCCTGTATTTATAGCTGCATGTTTTTCTGCCAATCATACACTCGCGTTACATTTTAAGGCCATTTTGTACTTTTATAATGAATATTGTACATTTAGAATAAATATTGTATTTTTATAATGAAGTACTTGAATACGGAAATAACTACGAGAAAACGGATATTAATTTTAAAAGTGCGATTTGAGCCCAGTATGAATAGCTGAAATTCCCCCCCCCCCTCTATGGGTGAACTTTTGTCCTTAATTTCCCTTTATAATCCTTTAATTTAATCCCTTTATATCCCCTTATTTCCCTGTAAGCACGAGAATGTTTCGCATATAAATAAGTACACGTTTCCATTCTGCTATTTACCTTGCCTGCAGCATTAATGTGAATTTTACAAACTAATTTCTATAATTAACTTGAATTGTTTTATGCATTTAACATTAAAAAAACATGAAAAAACATACCAGATGGTAGAAATGCAACATGACCGAAACATTTTAATTGAAATTTCAAACGTAACCTATGTGGTGCAAGGCGATGAGGGGAACAATACACCTTTGCTGGTAAAATTTATTTCAGCAATACTGTAAGGAGTGACTCAAAAATTCGTGACACAAATCAAAAGGTAAAACAAGTATATAAAAGGAATAAAAAATCCTTTAGCAGCATAAGTCGTAAACAGTATTTTCATCAAAAAGTCCTTCACGAGGATTAGTTTGTCTCAATGCTAAATTCAGGAGTTACCTTATCTTCTGGGTTGGAGTAAAAAGTATACTTCTATAGAATTTGAATTGATAAACCAAAAAAGGAGCAACCGGTCACAAGATAAAATAAAATATGAAAAGCGTTACGAAATTAAATTGTTTTTCATTCTTAATTACCACATTTGCCCTCTTATTTACCCAATTGATTCACTAATTATCATAACTTTTAAAGTCAAAGATCTTTTCGTATGACAATGACTCAATTTAGCTTCAGATTTAAAGGATGAGTCGTAGTAGAATTACTTACTGCGCTCTGGCTCGTTTCTCCTCTAAACTGCGCTTTCTTAGCAAGTCGAGGCTGTTCTTCATCTCGTGGAGCATTTTTTCTGATGCGGAAAGTCTATTCTCTAACATGTCTCTGTCCTATTGGAAGGATAAATAATAAACTGAAGAAGGGAAGGAACTGGCTGCACCCAATTATGGTAAATAATATATTATTTATATTTTCTGTTGCAAGTTAAGAAAAAAACATTATCCCTATGAAGAGAACCTGTTGGCATCTAAGTGCATGCCAAATGGATACCAAGCTCCCAACGCTAATGTATAATCAACATCGCCAAAACGACGTTGCACAGCCTCTTTTTGTTTTCTTTTTTATAAACAGCAATAAGCAATTAACAAATATTAAGAATAAATGATTTCTGAAAATCGTAGCAAACATTCCTCTTTCTGTTTGCATTTAAAGAAACTAATAAAAGAATAATAAATATTGTTTCTTGCAGACGATTTTCTTCCACAGAGAAACAAAAGTAAAAATTCTTAATTTGAAAAGAGCAGGCTAGCATAAGATGAGCAGTTTTTAGCAGTCCAATGAAATTCAATGCTCTTGCAACGTCGTATAGTTGTTTCTTTTTCAAGAACGAATGTTCTTATTTATTGAAATATGTCGCCAAGTCTATTATTCTAGTAAGACTACGCTACTACAACCTTTTTTTAATAATTCTATGATATATATCGCAAAAGATAGCACAAATAAATTAAAGTTTTGCCTGACGCGTTTAACCTTTAAAAGGTTTTGTATTGTTTTGAAAGCATATTTGCATAATTTGATAACGAAATAAAAAGGGAACTATATGCAGTCGCATATGATTACTTAAATCCTATACCGCAATGGTCTTTTCTTAACTTGGAACAGAGTATAGGAACTACTTGATAATATTATTCAGAATTGCTGTTGCCTTTTAATATCATTGGTTTTCAAACTTTTTGATGTATGTAACACACTTTTTTAAGGGCAACTGAGTCGTTTTTTTAATTAAAAGTTCTCAAATTTTTGTATTTAAAAATATGTTAAAAACAGAATGATAATTATATCTAAAGGAAAACTTTCGCGTATAACCCTTAGGCAGATGGTACACCGGTGTTTGTTTTACATATTTTTTTTTCTAACACTCTAATTTTAAGCAAAAATACATATGTATATTTTAATTTTGAATAACAGTCTAATAGTTAATAAAAATATGTTATATTATCGGAATTATATTTATACTGAAATACAAAATCTAAAAAAAAGTAGTTTTAATTTTTTTTCATTCACATTCAAAAATTTATCAATAATTGATTTGCAAATTAAAGAATTTCAAATGATGCATAACTGTTTCTAAATCTAAGTTACTGCAAATTTGAAAAGTTTTTCTTTCGGAAGGGAGTCGTGTTTGGAAAATTATATCTTCAATGCAGGAAAAGACACCGGTGTTTTATGCTGTATTACATAACTATAAATTATTAAAATGCTTCATATAATATTCTTCACTTATTTTGACTTAAATTAATGCAAAATAATGAAAAAAGTATGTAAAATATGTTAACTAATAATTTTGCATCAAAGGGTTAAGTAAAAGTGAAATCATGCATAAAAAATATTATTATAAAAAGTATTATTAAAAAAATATTATTATTAAAAATATTATAAATATATAATTAATAAAAAATATTATTATAAGAGTATTATTATAAAAAGTATTATTCTAAAACATTTTGTTATTAAAATATTATTATAAAAAATATTGCTATAAAGAATATTATTATAATAATATTATTATAAAAAATATTATTATTAAAAATGGTAAAAACAAACAATGGAAAAATTTAGGTTTGTATCCCCACATATTGAACAACGAAAAAATTGTATTCTTTCCGTAAATAATAACTATGAATCAAATGAATAATTAACACTAGATCACTTACTTTTTGAAGTTTTACATTATCGTATTTCTTTTCTGAATTCTTACTATCTAATTCTGCGAGTTGTTTTTCCATCTAATACAATATCAGAAAGAATAACAAAGTGTTTTTAATAAGTATAGGAAATGTTTGCAACAGATGATTTAAATTTATAAATTTATTAACAGATAATTTAAACTCTTGAAATTTATTTTCAAATCAGGAAACAATTTAATTTTAATAAGTGCAAGAATTGTTCTCAAATAGGAAATCAGACCTGTCTTTTGTGGTAAATAGTAGGAAAAAATATGCGCAAACCTATTGTCTTTTCTTAATTTTTTTTATTTCTCATCTACAATTTGTGAACTAGCACCATCAGAAACTGTTTGTCTGCCGGAAAAAAATTCATAGGTTGAGAAAAAGTGATCATTCTAAACCAGTGGTTTCCAACCGTTTGTTGCCCACAGCCTCCTTCCAGAAATTGGCTGACATTTATCGCTCCTTTTTTCTTTTTGATTGAAAAAAAAAACCATACATTGTTGCAAGTGAGCATCAATAAATTTGAATATATGCAAAATTATACCTGATTTTAATTTAAATTAAAATGCAAATAATGGAGCAATTTTTCACTTTAGAAGTTTCACTTCAAAGTCACTTTCAGTCACTTTAGAAAATTTAGAAAAAAAATATGTATCCCTTTAATTTTTTTTTGTCAAAAAGACTTGATATTTGAAGCGAAATAATTGAAACAAGAGTATATGTTTTGCAAATGAATTTTTTTTAATGCAATCTGGAAAAATTTAAAACGTTAACAATTAAATGCGAGAAAAAAACTTAAAATTTGAAAACTCAATTGTTCACTTTTACCTCTTCAATGACTGCCCTGTGTTTGGTGGATTTCAGTTAAAGCTTGAATATCAGGATTTATGTTCGTCAGATTTAAGAGTAGGTTTCCTTTGAAGCAAATGTCCAACCTACTTCTTTGTTTTGTGAGAAGCTGGATGACCGAACTAAATCTTCTTTCTGCTAAATATGTTGAAGGGGTCCAGATGAGGAGCGATTCATTGGCTTTTCTTATTATTATTAATTGCAAATGCAATGCAATTTTTTCTTTCTTTTGAATACTCATCGCCCCTTGATTGCCCACCTGAGGATTATCTCCCCGCTGAAGAGCCATATTGCCCCCAAGTTGGGAACCACTGTTCTAAACACTTCAAATAATTGGCTATCAAGTTGGTTTTGATTATGATAATCTTACTTTCCTAACTATTGATTTTACAGTTTGATACTGTTTTTTCCGCACAAAAATATTAATTTGCAACACTTAATCAATATACTTTTTTTTGAATTTAATGATTAAGCTGTAACTGTATAAATACCTCAGCATGTTTAGACAATAATTCTGATAATTGCTGGTCCTTAAGTTCAAGTTCCGTCTCCAATTCATTCCGCATTTTTTGCTCTTTTCGTTGTTCCTATAACAAACCAATTTTAAAAATACAATACTTGGTGATACATGATACAATATTAGGAAGGAATTTAAAAGCAGAAAATTAATTTTTGAGTCTTTTCAAGTATTGCACCAACTTTATGCAATTACGTTAAGTTATTCGTATATTCTTATAGTTCTTAGGATAATTAAATAATTTGGCTGTCTAAAAATATTGTGGACATTTTGTGATGCACATGTCTAATTGGAGAAGTTGTCAGTAAAATTTTCATCATAATGAGTAGATTTCAGTTGATACAGTTTGCAATAAGCCCAGAAAAGAAAGCTTATTGTAAATAGCATCATTTAATTTTTCTTTTACAGAACTGTCTCATTAAGTAATTCTTCGCACATTTCCCAAATAGCCTAAAAATATCAGACAATCAAGGCTTATTCAATTAAACTGACGTATTGCAAATAGACGCACATTTCAATTACGCGACGCCATTTACGCTCTATTCATAACATGTATCACAGAAAAGAGACTGTTTCAAGCAAATGCCATTTAAATTTTCAATTGCTTATTCCATTTATCAGGCTCATATTAATGCTTTGAAAAACTGATTAATAGAAAATAAAAGATTAATTCGTTTTTCTTCTTTAAAAAATAATATCATTATTGCTGAAATAAGAACAATTTTTGGAGCGCTGATTCATTATATTACTAGACAGAAAAAGCAACAAAAAAAGAAGGAAAAAAAACACACAAAAAAAAACTGTTTGTTAGTTTTAGAGTATCCTTATTTGCGTTTGAAAATTCATTATTTGATGAATCAGATTTTAAATACTATCAGAAATCACGACCGCTGTTCAAATAAGATAGACTCAACTTATTAGGTAAGTATTACGAATCTATGACGTCACTCCAGCTGACGATTTCCCTATGCTTTCTCATAGAAGTTATTGAACGTAATCGATTATAAGATGTATTTCTACTCTCTATAAATATCTTATCATAAAAATAGAAATTTCGAAAACATTTACTTTTATTTTTTTTATCATACAAGTGTTTATCTGGAACAATAATTGAATGGTATACAAAGTATTTTTCTTTTTTTGTGTTTTGAAAATTTAAAGCTATACATTTTCTCGTACAAATAAATATATTTCGAATTAAAATTTTTTATGGAATTTGTTGTTGCTGTTGTTCATTTACGTCACACTAGAGCTGCACAATGGGCTATTGGCGACGGTCTGGGAAACATCCCTGAGGATGATCCGAAGACATGCCATCACAATTTTGATCCTCTGCTGAGGGGATGGCACCCCCGCTATTAGTACCTATTAAAAGACAGCAACTAATCTAATACCATTAGTACCTACTAGTATGCTACTATATTAAATTAATTAAGTATTTAATATATGAAATTCATTAAGCAGCATTGGCGTCAATAATAATATGGGGATTATTTTTTTATGATTCATCAAGCCAAATAAGTACCTTTTCTACATTAAGTGCACATTTTTTTTAATTTAAATTTATACCTATTATCATAATTATTTAATTGTAATTCTCAAAAATAGTTAGCAACGTGACTTACATATTTGTGCATACATTTTTGGCAAACTAATATCGATACTCAATTCGGAGGTCATAAGAAAAATCGCGAAACTATTGTTGACTTACATTGATGCTTAATTAAATAAGGTATTAAATGCTAGTACTGTCATTATATGCGCGGTGGCAATGAGTAACCTATTTTACCTATATAGGTGCCTAATGTCGATACTATGGTAATAGGTCCAGATGGGCGTCGAAACGGGTAAGTATCCTCAAATCCCTATACTATTCAATCATGGCACTTAATATACAATTTGTTGAATATTTCGGTGTGGCTTCATTAAATTAGATTTACTTTAACTTGAATTGGAAGTTCAACGTGTCAAAAGAAAGACTATATATGTAATATCATTTCACCTGCAATATTCAGAATTGCCTCTATTTTCATGGCTTTACTGAGGACTTCAATTTTATTTTATTAGTTTTTGACGAATTTCCAATGTATAAGTTTATGGAGGCAATCTTTAAAATCGTAAGTTGTATCATTAAAATGAACACGCGGTTTCCTATAGATTTCAAAATATGAATTCAGTGACGTCATCACCATACGTCATGAAATTATTAAAGTTGATTTTACTTGTGATAACGTAACGTAGGAAGCCAAAGATAAATTATTCATAAAAGCATGTGATAAAACTAATTTTCTATTGATTAGTACTGTCGACCCCATTTTGAGTTTACCACCACCAATGTTCAACTCCATAGCCGTAAAATTTTGAACCCAATCGAAGATAAGGGAACTCCTGAATCAAGTATTGGAAGAAATTTAATTTCGTTAAGGACTTTTTTATGAGCTAACCCGCATTTGCGTTACGTGGGAAGGAAAACCACGAAAATCTCTGTCAGTTAGCCTGACGGCAAGGGGACTCTAACCCATGATCCGTCTACCGCTGAGGATATTTTACGTCAGCGCTATAGTTGGTGCGAGCCGGGTGTGGAATTCATATCGAGCAACCATCGTTGGAATTCGAACCCAATTCACCTCATTAGAAGGCGAGCACTCTATCCACTATGGAAAACTTTTTTTTTGCCATGTAGTGCGTGAACTGGTGGTCGGAGGTAGTTTTAAAGTTGACAGTTAGGTCTGCCGCGTTAGCCCATTGTGCAGCTCTAGTGCGACGTAAATGAACTACAACAACAACGACAAGGTCTGCCGTGTCTTTGAGCTTATATTCCAAATTTAATACTGTTTTGGGAATTTATATAAATTGCATACATACATATAAACATCATGCTTTATTTACTAATTATGCTCAATTGCTATCATTTGAAGGCAACGGCTTAAACTAGTGTAATACCTTTTTCAATTTATATCCATATTAGCATGAATAATATAAAAAGTAGTTCCGTTGCATGAACGAGCAAAGCTTATCGCTTAATTAATTGAAAATATTAAATACATCAGAAAGTCTTAATGAAACGGAAATTCCTTTAAAAACATAACATGTTAAAATTTTAACCAGCTGAGATATGCTTCCGGTTCTTTCCAAGCTTACAGCTTATGGGGTTTTTTTTCAGCTTCAAAACATTAATCTTCTCCCGTATTATACAACGAGAAAGTAATGTTTAACTGTGAAATTCATTACAATTTTCCCAAGGTCTCAACGCTTGGAGAGTTTTAAGAAAATCGTATGAAATAAAATAACACATTGGACTTTAAGAACATTACACACGCAAGATTTTTACTGTTATGTGGATAATCCACCCATAAATAATCCCGAGTTTATCGTATATGTTTTTCTTTCAAAACAAAAAATAATTACTCTGAGTTTTTAATTTAAATAATCGATTATAAATGTTTGACAGACCTGATCAAGTAATTTTTCTTTCTCTATTCTGAGCTGTTCTTCCATTTCCATGTACAGAGTTTGCACTTGAATTTCGTGCTCTTGCTTACGGCTGTAAAAAAAAAGAAGAAAATAGCAAATAAATTTATTAATGACATCGTAACAGATTTTATGTTCGATACACGTATCATTGCGATATTTACAAAGCGATTTTTACGTAAGTTCTGATATGTAAACCGAACTGGGATTGATATCAACTGCTTATTTTAAAAAAAATATATCCTGGAAATAGTTAAATACGTAAAATAAAAATCCATGAGAACGACAATTCACAGTCGTTATAGTACGCTTGTCGTCATAAACTACTTACGTCACTGACGTCACTGATAGTACTACTGACGTCATATTGACTGACACTGAATATTGATTTCAATAGTAAGCTGTCTCGAAAGGAAATAAAGGAAAATTGTAGTGTAGGTATGTGATCAACGAAATGTATATTCTTTTGAAATAAAAATATAGTGACTTGGCCGGTGGTCGCCCACATATAAACAAAAGAGGTGCGGGGCCGCGATGACTCAGGGGATGAAGTGCTCGTTCCCCAATTAGTTATTCCCAAGTTCGAATCCCAGCTGCGGCTGGTTGATACGAATTCAACTCCCGGCTCGCACCGACCACAGTGCTGACGTAAGATGATAGACGGATCATGGGTGGTATTCTTGGTTTTCTTCTCCATGTAACGCAAATACGGGTTAGTTCCATCAATAAGTTCTCCACGAAGGATTGTTTGTTTCAATGCTTGATCCAGGAGTGCCCTTGTCTTCTAGGGTGGGTTCAAAATGACAAGGGTACGGAGTTAAACATTGATAGTCGTATATTTAAAATCGGGTCTACTGTTCAACGCCGATTATAAAATAAAATAAAAACATAACGGAGGAAGAATGTCCGTTCTTTCCTTTCCTCGATTAACACAAGAAATGAAAATAAATTTTTTCCATTTTGGCCTACTTCGTATAATATTGCTCATTTAAACAACAGAAGAATGTATTTCCTTCCAATAGCAGGAGTTTTTTATTTTGTACCATACAATTTTTGTTTTTTTTTTATATTGGCATTTTCTTGGTGACTTTGTCGTAACTTCTCGTAGCTGCAAACTTCTCGTAGTATGCCGTATTCTCGTATTATGCCATCGAGCTTTTATTCTTGTTTTTTTTCCCTATAATGTTGTTTTAGTTCCTGATAAACATAAGTCGTATCTGATTTATGTTTTTTACATGTGTGTGGGAGAGTTAATGAGACCTTTTTTTATAAAACTTTTTTTCTAACTTTTCCCATATTAGCGATTAATTTTTAAATAGATCTTCCTAGTAATTTTTATTTATTGAGACAATTAAAAATATGTTTCTCTAGCCATTTATTTAAAATATATCCATTGCGCATCTTCTGTTAATCGACAATGTTTAAAAATAAAGATTTAAATGCAAAATTAAAATATCAATGAAATAAAATTGATATTTCGGGCGCGTTAAAAAATTCTATCTATGGAGTTTTTTAAAGGATAGCAAATAATGGATTTGCAATGCATTAATAAAAATGAGTTTTTCTTCCATAATTGGATTTTTCCTGTGATTTATATATTTGTTTTTTGCACACCTGGTGCGAATATTACTGATGATGGAAATAACATAAATTGAACAACAGCCGGTCTGCTTCAAAGGAAATAATGAGATAAAAACATATTTGCACGTTGTTGCTTTCATTCAATTTGAATTTCTATGAAAACTTATCTTCACACTCTTAAAAGACAACTATTTCTCCCAAAAATTCCAAAAAACACACCTTTCTTTCAGTTTTTATTTCAGTAACATTTAAAGACTAAATATTTTTTCCATAATTCGGTGCGAAGTTTATATTACGCAAATCATAAAGAAAAAATATGTTTAAAAATTTAAAATAAAGATTTTTGAAAATCTTCGATGAAAAATAGTTTCCAAAAGTTTTGAAGACTTAACAATATTAGGAATGTTTTATTTCTAAATTTAAGAAACACATGAGCATTATGTATGGATAGATAGTATGATGTGACCAGGGGTCATATCAATCTGGTCACTGAAAACAGACTAGTCTTTCAAAGCTTTCGAACACAATTTTAGTAGCCACAGTAAAAATCATAATTTTTATCACTTAGTCCAAAAAATTTTTTTCTTTTCTAAAACTTTCTAAAACAACCCAAGACTGTGCCAACCAGTTGCCTACTATCTATAGGTAAATTTAGAAAATATTTCTTTTAAAAAGTGCCTCAAGTTTGAGTTAATAAACTTTTATTGAAAACTTTTTTAAAAGCTTTGAACAAACTTTCGTACTAAATTAAAAACTAGTTTGCTAAACTAATTTATTAATTCAAAATTCATGTCTTTTAAATATATCTAGCAGAAATTAATTGAAATTTAAAAAAAAACACGCTCTAACTCTTCTGTTTTACGTAATAATAAATTAGACACTGTAGTTCAATTTCATGTGAAAGAAAAAGGATAAAGAAACAGCTAAGCAAGCTGCATATAAAAATATCATTAATTCTATATCTTCAGAATATATTAGAAAAGAAATAACTGCTCTTTTTAATAATTCAAAATGTTAGGAACTTAACGTGCAAGGTCTTACATTCATTATTTAAATTTAGTCAATATATCTACATAATATAATCTTAACAAATAAAACGAATTCCAATAGAATTATTACTTAAAATTTTATATCAGACAAATATATATAGATCATTTTTATATGCTACTACACTTGAAGTTTTGAATGCAATAATGAAGGTTTTCCAGCAACTTTTGGACAGAAAATCCTACGTGTTCTAGCTAAAACCAATTTAGAACATTCAAAATCAGACAGACCGAGTCAAGCTTTTAAATTTTTGAAAGCCATTCTCGCACTTATATAAAGTGACACAAAGAAACAAGAAAGCAACGTAGTTTCATCAAATAAATTTTTTTTTCCAATGCCCACCTGGAGAATGACCTTTTGCAGGACAAATGTGGCTAACAAGTCTGAAGGGCAGATTTGCTGGCCACTCGTTAAGGAGCACCATATTATATAGATGGTTCCAACGTTGCTCCCACAGTAAGGACAGATAGTACAGAGAATGAAAGAACATCCGTGCCTTGCCTGAAATTCGAACCCAGAACCCTTCTGATGCGAGGGCAGTTCCCTTAACCCTACACAATCCGGTCAGTTCACAAATAAACATATATTATGCCGTTTATGTTTTCGTACAAAATGTCACAAACTTTCTTACTTTTTTAAGATAGCAATAGGAAGATGTGTTTTCTGTCGTTATTTACATACCGATAGTCAGTTGGGAAAAAAAAGAAAAAAAACTCTAGAATACTTGATTCCCACATCGTTTCCATTCGTCATCTTTAACCCTTTAACCGTTGAATGTCATTCGTATTTTTAAAGAAATCCCCGTCAAGCCACTCGAGCTGTTTATTGTGGCATAGCGATGCGAAATGCAGAAAACAGATTGAAATAAATAAAATGTTTGATTCATAATAAATAAAAATTAAGTAAATTTTAGATAATTTTCAGTAATTACTTTTTAATCGATACAAATCTTAAAAGATGCAAATTAGTGTTTTATATCATAATTTACACTGTTAGTCACCTATGACCGGCAAGGCCAAAATGGAGTATTAATCGCCAATGACCGTCGCTGGTGATTAACACTAGATTGCCTAAGGAAGTCATTTTAACTGCTTTTTAATTTCAATTCGAAAAACAATGATGTATATAATGCCACAATTTCTTAGAATTTTGTACATCATATAATTTTTCTTATTGTTAATATTTACTAATAACTTGTTATATAACTGTAAATAATATAAAAAATTTTAAAAATTAATTTTAAACAAATTTATTTGCACATTCACAATCTAGTCATTTTGACTGCTTTTAGGCAATATAGGTATACACTAATTTTCCGTCTTTCTAGTATTAAGGAACAACTTGTAAATTAGATGGCTTATTCACCAATGTCACTTACTTCTTTAGGGTAGTATGTAAACTTGACTGTTCTATCGCCGATTCCTTCAGGTCGGCTGCCATCTTTGAAATGAAGTTTTCGAAATTCGATCGCATCACGGGATCTTCCTTTCGGACACGTCGCCACATTTCTCGGACATAGTCCTCACTTTAAAAAAGAAAAAAAATTTAACTCATTTTTAGACTTGATCAGGATAAAGATATGTTGATATATGCGCAAAAGGTTTTAAGAGAACTTAAACGAATTGTATGCATTTCATTCATTCGATTCCGCTTGAATTTCGGTTTTCTACCAGTTAAAATTACGCTATTTAAAACTATATGAATATTTGCGAACTTTCAAATTCAACCATTATAAGATTAAATGATATAAAATAATAGGTGAATACAAAAAAATAAATTTCGAATTTTTTATCTGATTTTGACATTTATATCTCTGCATGAATGAACGAGTTTAACACTTGTGTTTAAAAATTTTAAATTCTTGAATAGTTTCTAATCAGAAAAATTTGTGAAAGTAACTCAAATGAATTTTATTAAAAAAAAAAGGTCTCAATCCACTAATTTATAAATAACAATCATGATCGTTTAATTATTACATATTATTCTACCTGCTAAAAAAACCAACTTCGAATTTTCTTTTAATTTCTGGAGACTATGTGCTCCGGAATCTAATAATTTATTCCAGCATATGCGTAACCTGCTAAAAAAACAATAACAAGTAGAATTGATGTCGTTAGAAATTAGCAATAAAATATTTTCCTTGTTCAATCAAAAGCTACTAACTTAGTTTTTATATCGAAATCACTTTTTGTCGTCCCTTTTATAATATAATAACTTATCATTAAACTGCACGCTAATAATTTTCCTGAATTTTCAGACGTAGTATTTTTCTTTTTTCCGTTAACAGACAAAACCAATACTGCGGGTAGCGAAAATAAAATCTCTAATATGTGGGTAAAGAAAGGGTGTGGTCAGATATGGGTTCATATATGTACTATACGCTGTCAAAAAAAAAAAAAGAATTTTAAGTATAACAAGTAAACAAATTAGTAAATTTTAGTTAAATGTCAGGATTAGAAGTTATCTTTAAAAATTTATAAGGAACATCCAAATAAGTTATTTTTTGCCTTAAAAGCTCAAAAAAGCACAACAGAAATTTTAAAGACATTCTTTACATCTTTTTTCTAAAACATTTTTTTTTGATGTACTAAAATTTAAAAATGCATCATAGATATACACTGTATTTTTACAGAATTTATAGAATTCTTACAGTTTACAGAATTTTGATATAAAATAAAATGTAGGCGTTTTAAAATAGATTTAATTAAGAAAAATACATGTTTCATCACGTCTACTTTTCATTGGAATTGATGCATGGTGTTTAGTAATCTTTAAAAAAAAATTTGTATTTTAGATTTTTAAAACTAATTAACATTTATTCAAAATTCCTGTGAAAATTGTACATTGTCAGCAAATGCAAATGTTGTCATGCAGAACGTTGAAATAACTTGAAGTAGGAAATATAATTCTGAACATGAAATATTACAAAATTTGAGCAAAATTGGTTCAACAGTTCCTGAAAAATGGAATTTCAAAGAAGTCGTACATTTAAAATTCGATTTCTCAGGCACTATTCAACCGATTTCGCTCAAATTTTATATTTTGCCATTTAAAATTATATCCCTCAAAATGGTGTAAAAACTTTTATATCTTGCAGTTAAAATTTTTTCGACTATTATTAAATAAAATTATAATAAATATATGAACTAAAGTCATATTTCTTGCGAAATTATCCCTGTATAAACGAATTTTATGGTTGTTTGCAAAAATGGTTCAATTTGCTGAAAAAGTTTTCGAGATATAGCGAGAGAGTCAAAAAATAAAATTAACTTTAAGGGGTTTAAACTTTGAATCGATCTCCTGCCCAAACTGCGGGGTCCATATTTTCTAGCTTGCGACTACCCTCTATGTTTTGGGGGGTCAGAAATCCAAATCCGTCGAAAGAAGGTATGTTTATTCTGAGAAAGTGCGTTTTTGTGTCTGATTTCGTAACTTAAATTATAGTCTGCACTAATTAATTAGCATATTTGGTCAACCCTCAAACCTTTAGATTGAGTCCAGAACGTGAAAATCCGATCATTAGATCAAAAGTTATTCTGGTTGGTCCGTTTTTTATTTTGCGCACTGTTCATCCAGCTGAAGATTTTAATGGGTGAACATATCAAGTCTTATTTGAGAGTGTTTAAGGAAATCAGTTTAAAAAGACATTTCAAAATAATTTTGTTTTCTTTCGAAAAATTCATTTTTTAAGACACTTTTTGCGGAACAAAATCAAAACCAGCCACCGCTGATTTTGATTTGCATGCAAAATCAAAAATCTTTGAAATTGCTGTCTTCTAAATATAACATTCTACTAAGTTCTACCAAGTTACATGTTCTACCAAGCTCTTTAAATGTATCATACTCTGTGAAAAGATTCCTAGCACCTAGGTGATCCAACAGTTCTTCTAAAATTTCTTCATCTTCTTCGTTTTCAGCTTGTTGATCACTTTCAGCACCATTATTTGGTAATGTGTCAATTCCTAAAAATAACCCTGAAAAAACGAAGGAAACCACAATACAACAATTTGTATATAGTGAATTTAAATTCAAAAAATTTTCTATTAATTTATTCAGAATTAATATACAATTCCTTTGATAAGAAAAAAAAACAGAAAACTATAATTTTAAAATAATAACACTTTAACATTAGGTTACATGGAGGGGAGTATATAGCGATGACGTTAAAGAACCTCGAACTTTCCACAACACATATATACCCATTTTCGAAGAACAAGGTTGCTTTAAGAAAGATCGCTATAATGTGGTAGACGGATCGGTGGTAGACGGATTCAGTGGTAGACGGATCATGAATTAGAATTCCCTAGCTACCGGTATAACCGAGAAAGGTTTTTGTGGTTTTCCACACCATGTAACACGAATATGAGTTGCTTAAATGAAAAAGTTCTCCACAAAGGCAAATTTGCCCCAATGCTTGATCCATACGTTCTCTTGTCTTTTGAGTTGGGTTCAAAATGACAAGGCTACGGATTTGAACATTGACAGCTCAGCTGTTCTACACTGGTTATAAAATTAAATATGTACCTCCAAATAACGACACGATTAGAGTGTTTGAGTAATTAGATCCGGAAATCATTTCACATAGGCGTATGATATCGTTCTGGCAGAACGATATTCAGTTTAGCTTTGTACTTTGTCGTTAAAAAGCAGAGATATGGTTGAGTTTTGTCAAGTCCTATCTAAATCTTCAGTCTAGCTAAGAGTACCAGGGATAAATAACGACTTATAAAGCTTATNCCCATGCACGTCAACAACGTTTCAGCGTAAACGTTTGGGCTGGTATTATCTGTGACATGTTGATTGGCCCTTACCTTCTACCTGAACGCCACGACGGAAATACCTATCGTATTTTTTTTAAAAAAGAGTTTTGCCGGATCTGATGGGGGACGTTCCAGCCGCTACACGCCGAAACATCTGGTTTCAGCATAATGGAGCACCTGCCCACTTTAGCTACGCTGTTCGAGAATACCTCGATAGGATTTATCCTAATCGCTGGATCGGTAGAGGCGGACCAGTCCCATGGCCGCCGCGATCCCTCGACCTGACTCCCCTGGATTTCTACCTGTGGGGACACATGAAGTCCATAGTGTACGAGACACCTGTAACATCAGACATAGATCTTATCGCCAGGATCGCGGAAGCGGCAGCACGTGTCCGTGACACTCCTGGCCAATTTGAACGGGTTCGTGAATCCATGCATCGACGCTGTGAAACGTGCATTGTGGCGAATGGAAGGAATTTTGAGCATTTGCTGTGATGTAATGATGTTTTATAATAAAAATCATATTAACACCGCTATCGATATAATTTATTTCTCCTCATCCAAACCTGCACTTATCGCCCTCTAGCGGTCTCAGTTTTAATTTTCGGACACAAGTTCCTATGTAAATCTTGTTCATCATGATATGACAAACCAGCATGTTAAGTTTGTAAACGACCTTTTGGGACACCCTGTACTAATCTGATACAACCTTGCAACTCTGTCATGAACTTTCAGGACCATTAGGACATTTAAGATCTTTTTCGATAATAAATGAATTTCAAAACTTCTGGGTTTTTTTTTTTCAGTTTTCAAAATATACTTTGTTTCAAAATATTTTGCTTGATTTGCTTGCTGCTTGATCTTTTTGTGTTCTATAATTTCTAAAATGCGTAGCAACACAATTTCTAGAATAAGATAAAATATCTTACCGAGAACCGAAAAGTTTAAGGGTTTGTACTAAGGTAGATCTAATTGCACATATATATTACCTTTCGGATGATTAAAAATTAAACCCTGATAATTTAGACATTTTGCATTCAATACATTGTCATTTTATTAAAATGTTTTAAAATATCCAACCTTTAACAGAAGCTACATTAATAAATGCTATCGAAATTTAAGTAAATCAAAGTGAAAAATGAATTAATTATAAACTCCACAATTAGCGTATGTGTCTTCTTCATGACAATATTTTACGTTAATTATTCGTCACCTAAACAGACATCCCAAATTTCTTTTTAAAATTTCTTTTTTAAAAAGTTATTTTTTCTTAAATTTAGTTTGAAAAAATTTAAAAATAAAAACACGAGTTTTCATTTATATGGGTGTGCAACAAATTTCCTTATAACTATAACTCATAAAACATGTGATAATTATATTATTTTTATAATTGCTTTATATAAATGTTATAATACCTGGGCCTGGTAATAAATCCAATTTTATATCGGGTAACAGGAACCGGCCAGTTTAAAGATTTCATTTTCACCGGGAAACCCAGACCTGGCAAATTGTTTGGAACCAATACCCCTCTAAATATTATCTGTAACATGTATTGTGCAAAAGTATTTCAATGCTACTGTTATTAAAGCGTTTTCAAGAGAATAAATACGTTTTGTTTGCTGACACTCGAATAAGGTCAGATGAATCATGATAGAACATCCAGCCGCGATAATGCACACATCCGGATTTATTCTATTTTTGATCACATTATTCGAAGAGCTTCGTTACATTTCGATTTGAATACCATTGACAGTAAGAGATTTAATCATATTTTTCGAGATTATTGTAGCGCATTTGTAAAATGGCTTGATTCGACTAAGGAAGAAAACTTATAGATAGATTTTCTTCTTATAAAATTTTTATAAGCGATCGAAATGGGCTTCAGGTGGCGTAGAGCAGAACTCTCTACCTATGGCAACACTTCGAATACTTTCACTTTTAGCGTGTGAAGAGTCATAGGAGAAGGAAGTGAATTAGTTTCTGTCGTAATTTTCAAATAGATTAAAAACTCTTAAGTTAGGAAACTATATGGAACTGAAAACTACATTGAACATAGTTCTAAAAGAAAGCGTATTGGAAATTTTAAAGATTATTTTTGACAACTAAATGCAAAAAATATTAAGAAACGGGAAAATATTGTAGTACATTCCTATACAACTGAAAAGTGGGTGAGAGGGAAAGGATCAAGACATAGAACAGGTCTTCTTCCCAGATGGCATATTCGAATGTTGCGATCACGAATAAAATAATGACGCAAATACTCTTCATCGTAAAGAACGTCTCAGTCTCGCAATTACGGTTTCTAATAGTCTCCATGGAAACAATGCAGTGCATAATTATAGGAACTGCTTTGGGTAGCTTATAACTCACATGGTACAATTCACGTAATTACTTAAACAAATACTTGTATAAAGCATGAAGCCTCTAACATTATATAGTGATAGAACAAAGTTTAAAAATTTAGAGTTAATCATTTTAAATTCAGATGGACCAAACTCACCAAAACCATCCGTAAATTCTTGCAACGTGAGTTTCCCATCACTGTTTGCATCTAAAGCGTCAAATACAATGTCTAACTGCTCTGGGGGCAGCGGGAGCTCACATCTCAGCGTTTGTAGATCACTTTTGGTTGCATATCCTTTACCCTCTGGATCACAAAGGCTAAATAATTCTGCTGCTTTGTTCACCAGACTCCCACGCAGATGAGCTCGGTCCCGCATCATAGCCGATCTAGAATTTAAAATACATAATAATATATTACAAGATCCTCCAAAACAACTGCAAAGTTTCTAGAGCGAAAAATATTGAACATCATGTACTTAATTTTTGATCTTTCGAATACCCTGGTCGTTTTCATATTAGTACTAACCTGAGGTTCCACAATTTCCCGATCAATAGCGTGATGATGAGAACGTAATCAGTATTGCACACCTTCAGCCTTTAACTTTTCCAGTCAAGCTTGAAGCACGCCACGACCTGAAACACACCGACCAGTCAGAAGCCGAACATGCTTCAAGCCGCCATCGAAGATAGAACACCGGTACTGCGAAATGCCAGCGTGAAACTCTATTCTTTATTTACCAGGATACTTCAACAATACGTCACTCAGGCTCATAATTAAAAAACAATGCAAGATTGAGAGCGAATCACAATTTTCGAATTTCACCACAAATTGCATAGTCCTCACTTTTAAGTTAAAAAATCAAGACTACCGTCTATACTCTTCCTTTTCTACAGAAAAGTACAGCAATCGCAATCCATAATGGATAAATTTAAAACTTATCGTAAGAGTTCGAGCAAGTATTGATTTAAAATCTTCGAAAACAAATTTACATATCTATTTTATTTATTTACTGTCTCCTGCCCTCTTCGACTAAAAAGAAGCTGCAAACAACCCTTAGTCAGATGGTTTTAGAATAGCTGTGATCTTCCTATGAACTGTTTGAAACGTCTTACTTCCACTGAGATCCACTCCCTGGGAAAAATCGTTTTCTTCCAGTACTCCATCCCGTCAGTGGTATGCTGGCAACCGCCCTGGCCTATCATTCACATGCTGCTGCCCGTGGCCTTTCCAATTGAATATGGTCAGATTTCGTAGTGGCCATCTTAAGTATTTAAGGTTTCAAAATGGGGAGAAGACCTTCCAACCTTGTTCCTGCTCACAACATGCTAGTCCTGATCACCTTCTTTTTTGCCTTGGCGTTTCTTTTAAGCAGCTGCTGGTTGATCGGGACTATCTGCAGATATATGGGGAACTGATGCAACGGGGCCTTCTGGACCTGGTCTAGGCTTTCCTTCTCCAGAGGGATATGTATCAACAACAACAACAACATTTATTTACTTATTTATCTATTTTTTTAATGAGAGAGATATGCAATTGTTTTTCACTAAGAACTGACTGTAAACTAATATTTTAATCAAATAAATTGGTTTTAAATTATTTTAATCCAAATCCCCCCTTTGCTCATATTATTTATAATAGGGACTGCTGATACGTGTTTGAAAACGACTTTGTTTTATCACATTTAACTATTAATAAGTGACTCCGGTGCTTAAACATTATCCCGGCGGCGAATTTACAATCCAGAGTTCTTTAATAACTTCTTCTCTTTCTTGGAGATTTTTTTCTTGGGTACAGCTGGTCGCAATTATTAATACAAACTTTTATTTCTTTTCAAATTTGTCACTTGAATTAGAAAAATTAAGAATACTTTTTAACTTATTTATTTATTTAAAAAAAAACAAATAGGAGAGCAGATATGAAAATCGGCCATCGACCCTTTTCGTCAATCATTTTGGTGATTTCCAAATTTATTTTCACATATAGTTCTGGATTATAAAGAAGTAGACAAAATGCAAACATACCACATTTAAAAATACGAAAATATTTCGATTTGAACCACTTCTAAATTTATTTCCACATACATAAAATGAAAAAAACAATGTTAAAATTCCGAAGACAAAAAAACTTTTCTACTGCCCTGTAAAAATGAATTTGGCTAGGTTTGCATAGAACCGGCATCATAATAGATGGCAATTAAATATTAGCGTCACAAAGCGTTGTTTTGGACGGCTGTTTTCAGATTTGAAAGAAATTATGCACGGGATTAAACGTAATTAATGTATGCTTTTTTTAAACTTCATGATTGAATAGGTTTTAAAAATATTTATGTTAAAGGCTATCGTTACGAGTCTTACGGGATTAGCGTAATTAATGTATGCTTTTTTTAAACTTCATAATTGAATAGGTTTTAAAAATATTTATATTAAAGGCTATCGTTACGGGTCTTCCTGTATTTTTAGAATTTTTTTTACCTATTTTAAACATTTAATTTTTTTTTTCAATTCATATTGAAACTTTCATCTTTTAATATTAATAAATATAACCGCGGGCTCACGAAACTTGATTGTGTGTACTGTAAAAATATAAAATGTGTAACTGATGGAAAAATAGCCCATCCGTGGAAATCACGTTTTGATACAGCTGCGAAAAGGAATGAACTCAATTTATGCAGCTTTTTTTATTATTATTATTTGTTCGGGTTTACTTAACCAATGACCTTGTATGACGAGATAAATTCAAGCATACGTTCACGTATTAAACAATAATATTTAATTAACGAGTTTTAACGCCTTCTTTAAATGAGGCATTCTAAGAGGCAAAGAAAATAAATGAGATTTTGCAAAACAAATTTTTTTTTCATTTAATATTTATTATAAATCGTCGGTAAATTTATTTATTCTGGACCCAGTTCAAAATGTGCGTTAACGAAAATCGAAACACCAAAACTGTGTCGTCAAATGACACGAAGTGACATTCGAAAAAAAAAATTTTTTCAATACATGTTTTTTTGGCTCTATACTCCAAAATTCTGAGTGCAACATCAGAGGGAAAAATTAAAGAGCTTAGTGGAAGAAGTTATCAAGTGGCATTTTCAATTTAATCCTTTGACTACGAAATTTAAAAAATGATTTTTTCGTCCCGTTTATTATTGAAAAGGACAAAATATGTCACAAATAAGGCAAATTTAGTATTTGGGACATTTCTGACAAGCAGTTATCAATTTCGAGGCTGGGACAAATATGTCCCGGCCGTACTTAATGGTGGGATAAATATGTCCATTAGTAATTTTTTAACATTTGTTGGGACAAATGAGTCCCGTTAGTAGCCAAAGGGTTAAAAACAAAACCAACAACTTGTGAATCTTGGCATACTTTGTTCTTCAAAGTGAGGATAAAGCATACTTGGGGCTAAGTAGGAATAGAGCAAAACAACATAAATAATAAAATATCGGTATCTTTGTTTATTCTTGATTCACGTTGTTTTGCGTTAAGTTGTTTTGCCCCTAAATTATTTTGGACACTCAAAAAGACCATTTTTCTGATCAGATAAAAAAAAATTTCATTCATACATTAAATTTTACTGACGTAACATACAGTAAATGTGTAAATAATAATAAGCGCGCGACGTCATTCTGTCGCAAATTATCACTCAAAACTTCTTGTCGCCGAACCAGAGAATGGTCTTTAAGATCATGGAGAGATTTAATTTTTAAAGGCCAATAAATTTCAGCTAGATTCAGAATCATAAGTTACTACTTTTCACGGAACAAAAAAGTCATGTACTTAGCGTTCGAGTCATGTCGTTAATCATAAGGCAATGCTGAAATTCTCGGCTTAAATCTTCATACTCCGATGTTACGTTTAACCATTTTAATTTTTTTTATGTGCTATAGGGAAACCACAGATAGGGAACAGAGCATTTGTTTCACTTTTCAGCAAAAAATGTAGTTAAGATACTCGAATAAAATTTGAAGCCAATTTTGATTAAATCATCAGACTTTACTAATGACGAAAGAATTCAGTTTTATCTCGCTAAAATCATTGGAAATTTGTTTTTATCTAAAATAAACCAGAGTTATGAAATTTTAAAATACCTATTATTTACCTATATATTGTCATGTCACGGTAAGTCTGTTTATCTAAAAAAATGTTTCGTCATCTTCTTATATTTTTTCCAAAAAAATTTATTCCATTAAATTATGATATTTGAAAATGTCGCATTTAGCGATAATGTCAAAGACATTAACCTTATTTTCTTGAAATTTTGCATAAATGTTATGAAATTTTGCATAACACATTAAATCTCTTCATACTTAATAAAATATTTTTCATTTTAATTTGTTTTGAAACGCAGTATTTCGAAAGTCAACTAATAATATTAAAAATTGCCTTTCATACAACAGTTGTTTAGTAATTACTTTTCGTTAATTGGCATTTTATTTTTTCGTTTTATCATTGTTTAAATCGCTTTAGAAGTACAAAATAAAATTAACAATATGAAAAAAAATTTTTATGCATTTTAAGCAAAAAACATGTATTTTATGCAAAAAACGAACAAAAAGAGAGATTTTTCTTTTTGCATAATTTTTAAAATCGTACTCGAATATGAATGAAGCTTAAACAATGTGAGATAAGATTTCGATAATATACTGAAGGTGTTTCCTGTTAATATCGAAGTAATCGATATGTGACTCTATTTATAATCGTATTTTCACATTGTTGTAATTTTAGCTATTTTATCTTATTTTTGTTTAATGTAGGAAAATTATATTTTATGTTTTGAAATCGCTATTATTCCCCGCTTTTCGCCTTTTTTTTTCCTTAAATTAATTTCCAGATTTCCAAAAGGATTTTTTTTGTCAATTCTTTTTCTTTTAAGCATGAAAAAAGTCCACTCCAAATTCTTTTCATTTTAAAAATAAAAATAGTTTTCACTACGATAATTCATTTAAATACAAATGAATCCTACATTGTTTCTTCAAAGGAGCGTGGCTATAGGGGAAAGTTTATATATTTTCCTTGGGTGATTTATTCTTTATTAAACTATTTACATCACAAATATTTAAATAAAGAATTTTTTATCTATTTTGGGGGTATCGTTTCTACATGCAGACTATCTAGTCATTTATACGGAAGCTCATTCAGGCTTTGAGTCTTCTCTAGAATCTGTGCAACTTCAATAGCATGGTGGTCAATATTGACTAAGCAGCCGCAATGTCCTTGCGCCATAGCACTGCGTATGGAGATTTTCTACGGTTATTCGAAACGAATTTCCCGTTAACTTTGCTTTTCAGCTTGTGGCTTACTTTTTTATTTCAATTAATACATATTACCAATATTAATTAAGCTTTGGCATCAATAATAATATGGTGAATAATAATACTCCTAAAATCTTTTCTCCATTAACTTTGCTTTTTAGTAGAAAGGTTCCTCTAAACGGTTAAGTACCTTAGCTCCATTAATTTTGCCCTTTAGTGCATAGCATATTTCTTTTATTTCAATAAACATATATTAGCTATATTAAGGATTATTGGCGTTATTAGTAGAATAGCTATTTTTTACTTTTCTCCTAGGCAAATTAGTACCACTTTACTTTTCTTTTTACCTTTGAATACGTAACTCATTTTTTTTTCATTAGAACAACCGTTGATTTTAAATTATTTACTTTCACTAAATCACACTTTAAAAGTATTGTTATAAACAAAATAAACAAGTGGTATCAGATAACTTAAATACCAATGTGGTTTCGCTTTCCGCGAATGTTCATTGAATTTATCTGACGTAACGAATAAAAAAATTATTAAATATTAAAGTACTTGCCAAAAACCACTTTTTTTTTAAAAAAAAATAGAGCTATAGGCTAGCAAATATTACTAGTGCGTGCTATATTTAAAATATTTGAAAAATTGAGTTGTTTACAGTTTAATTTAAAACAATGGCTAACGCTTAACCAATTGAAAAATTCCATTTCATTTTTCGCCAATTACGCTCGAACGGTTTGCCGTAGAATGCTCCAACGTCAAAAGTGACTTTTTTTATAGTGCTTCGAATTATCTGTATGCCAAATTTCATCGATTTCGGTTGGATGGTTTGGGAGTCTATAAAGAACCCACTCACAAACAGATATTAATTTTTATATGTAAAAAAGATAACATAACTGAGAAATCCCGAAAGAACTTAGCTGTTCGAACAATTCAAAAATCTTGGAAAGTCATTAATGTATCAATCATGTCTTCGTTGTAGTAGTTGTCTTTAAATCGTATCATTAGAAATAAAAAAAGAATATACCTCAATTCTATAATTGGTTAAATAAATAATTTTAATTTATATATTATTAAATGAAAATTTCGATTTTAGTGCAAAAAGTCGTGACAGTACACTTTGTTAACTGAGCGATCAATGAGAATCCAGCTTCAGATAAATGGGAACCACTTTGTGGCGTAACTACCACTACGAATATTAGACATCAATTCACTGGTATATAAGACATGCTAACTTGATTCAATCATGAGGTACCTTTTGATAGATGAAGGTTGGAATAGTCGATAACTCCCGCCCCTACATTGGTGACCTTCGGACGTGATTTGAACTCGCAGCAACGCCTAGATCGATGGATAGTTGACTTGCTACTTGTGACTGCAACATTAACCACCTCCTCACGCTGTTGCTACTCAGTCTCGTCTCGATTAAACACAACGTCTACCTGCATACACTCGACTGCTAATAGCAACACAGGAGCGACTACGGCTGTGAAGTTAATACACCTCTCACATTCAGCACTCAAAACAACCCGGTGACTTTAATTGCAGCTCTCCCGGTCTTTCACAAGTACAGCAACTAGTGGTATCCGTCCATCGAATTCTATCCCTGATAAAATTCTGGTGGGGGAGTATTGTGGCGTAACTACCACTACGATTAAACATCAATTCACTGGTATATAAGATATGCTAACTTGATTCAATCATGTGGTACCTTTTGATAGATGAAGGTTGGCATGGTCGATAACACATTAATGAGAAGTAAAGGAAGGAAGTTTCAATCTCCACGATTGAGTCGTGGTGGCTCAGGGAATAGGGCGTACGCCTTCCAATGAGGAGTACTGGATTCGATTCCAGGGACGACTGGTTGATACGAATCCCGCACCCAGCTCGCACCGACTACAGTGCCGACGTAAGACATCCTCAGTGGCTCCACATTAGGAAGTTTCAATCTCCACGGAGTCGTGGTGGCTCAGGGAATAGGGCGTGCACCTTTCAATAAGGAGCACCGGATTCGAATCCAGGAACAGCTGGTTGAAACGAATCCCGCACCCGGCTCCCACCGACTACAGTGCTGACATAAAACATCCTCAGTGGTAGACGGATCATGGATGAGAGTTCCCTTGCGGTCAAGCTAACCGTGGGAGGTTTTCCTCTCCATGTAAGGCAAATGCAGGTTAGCTCCATCAAAAAGTTCTCCCCAGGCTAATTTCCCCCTATACTTAATCCAGGAACTTCCTTGTCTTCTGGATCGGGTTCAAAATTACAAGGTTACGGAATTGAACATTACTAGTCGTAAACCCATAATTGGATCGGCTGTTCAACGACGGTTTTAAAAAATTTCCACGACAGGTTGGTACACAACAAACTGTTGCATGAATGCTCCACTATTTCTAAGTTAAGAAATTAAAAGAATTATATATCGAACTGTTCTGTGTAGTTTAATTTCGCCATGTATTAATATGAACCTTGTACACTCAAAAGGTCATTATCCCTAAAGTATAAAGAAATAGTAGCGGACTCCACCAAAAAAAGGGAATGTTGGAAATTTGTTAAGCTAAGTTCTGTAATTTTTGTTCACTTCTCTATTAAAATTAGAATATTTCTTTCATAAAAATATTTTTTAGTATAAATATATGGTCTTTAAACTCAACTTAATGTTAAAAAAATGAACAAATAATATATAAATAATTAACTATAAACAACAAAAGATAAAATAATCTTCATTATGTTTTAAACAGGAAGCTAAAAAAACTAGTCGCAGCAAGCAAACGATTTCAATTAATGTTTATTGATTTTAAAAAATTTTCGTTCTTTATTCTTTACAAAATTATATTTAAATTCATTTTATTATTACTCATTTCACTTTTTATTCTAATATACTGAACTTCAAACAAGCAATTTTTAATAATTTTCGCTGCAAAGCCTTTATTCATTTGCATAATTGATATCAAACGATTTTTAATTATGATGTAAATATTACTTTTTTTTAGAACTTTTTTTAACCGCGCTTTAAAAATGCAAAGCAGTATACAAAGTATTTAATAGTAAACAAACACAAAATGAAGCATAAAATACGTGTGAACAAATGTTTTACCTTTTCCTTGAGAAGAATGTCGATAAAATGGAAAACTCTGTTCCTTTTTCCGTTCTGAATGGCGGAGGGAAATCTCACCTGTTCCAAAACAAATGCTTACGAATGTAAGGATCACGCCCATTTCAACATGTGTCTTTGACGGATATGAAAACGTCATTACAATTCCTTTTCACTCTAGGAGAATAGGATGAATATGCTTTTCTTAAACACTGATTGTGAAAACCTTTTTAACAATTAAATCACCTTTTTAAATAGCATTATCGTTATTTTAATTGCATTCATAGCAACGTTATCCATTTGCAATTATAGTTTAGTACCCAGGCGGTGATAATGATTTTCTTAAAAGATAAATGACGATTTCAGAATTGTCATGCAGATAAAATACAATCTTAAAAGCTGAGTAAATGAAAAGGTACAAAAAGAGTAAGAAACGAAATGAAAGGTACGCCATGGGCCCAGTTAGTCACATCTATGCCGATCAATGTTTAATTCCGTAGCGTTGTAATTTTGAACTCAACCCAGAAGACAATGTTTCTCCTGGATCAAGCATTAGGCTAACCTAGCTTTTCTGGAAAAGTTTTTGATGACACTAACCTGCATTTACGTTACATAGAGGAGAAAAACATAAAATCATATTACGGTCAACCCGATGAAACACCGATCACATGACCGAGTCCGATTATTAGGGCTCTAACTTTTAATGACCATGGTAGGAATGCTACTTAAAATTTGACCTCGGTCAGATGACGTGGACAGCTCCTGAGCTGGTACCTTCTCTCTAAACTTTCACACAACAAATGGGTGAACTTTCAGCAACGACAAATTTAAATTGCACATTACTGCGTAAACACGCCGGTTTTTAGGATCGAACTCACAACCCCAGCTCTTCAACTAGCGGTGTGAATGACGCCTTACCGACTGTGCCATTGGGGTGGCAAGGAAAAATGATCCGTCTACCACTGATGATATATTAAGTCAGCGGTGTGACCTTTGAGCTCTGGAAACAGAATTCATATCGCTCTAGCAATCGCTGGAATTCGAACCCGAGTCACTGTATTGGAAGGCAAACGTTCTATCCTCTTCTCAGTTAGGCGAAATTGTGATTGTTGGGAGTTAGTCCCAAAAACTCAACCTTTTCCTTTAAACCACAATTGTTTAGAAATAAATTTCGGGTTTGGAGCCGTAGCTAGACTTTCAATATATTCAGTTCCCCTATTGATCTAGATTTCAGCTACTAACATTAAAATAAATGATTTTTTCCTTCTTCGAATTGCATTCCTAAATCCGTACAACATTTTTTTCCTTCAAATTTCCAATACCATCGCTTAAGTTTTTTAACCCCACACACTATTAGAGGTCCTTAACAATTTTGTGTTTAAGAGCCCCACTTCTAAGCAAGCTAAAGATGATTAAATAAATCTTGTTCCCCAATTCTGAAATTTCAATTCATAAAAATTTTTGTAAGGTGCCTCTTTAAGTGTGGAGCTTACTGCCAACTGCACTTTCCATGAAATTAAAAACAGGGTTTCCTAATCTGCAATACTGAATATCTCAATAATCGTACAAATTTTAAGAGCAATTATTTTAATAATTATTGAAATTATTTTTCAAAATATCGCCCGCACGGACCCGCAATTCTCGAAATGCAGAGCTCTGAGCATATGCATCTCTTGTTATGATTCTGATAAGAAATCTCATTTCAACAATAGTTGAATTTCGTCAATTTAGAAATCACTTAAACTGTAGTAGAAAAAAAAGTATTTATTTGGTCGAAAATTGTTTATATTTTTATGCCAGCTCATCTTTATTATATATTTCAACCATTCGTGACATATTTTATTAGACTATGTCAGTTATTCATGTAGAATTTTTCTTAGCCTTTATACTTGCCATCGATTTTTATTTGTTTAAAAACTTCCTAGTACAAAGATAATTTTTGATTAATTAATTAATCATTAAGTAACTAAAGTTAACTTTTTCGCTGCAAATAATAATAATAAAATATTTGTAAGAAACGTTGCAAACAAAATTATGTAAAGAATTCATGCTTCAAAGCACTAGCATAAAGGTAAGCTGATCAAAATGGAGTTTTAGTTAGAGAGCGATTATTACTGCAAGATTATGTAATTAAAAAATAAAAATCGAATTATTTTTTACCAGAGAAAATAAAAAAAAAGCCAACCTAAAATAAAAAAACTAAGCTTTTATTGAATCAAATATCACCAAATTATGAAATTATTTTAAAACCAATAATAGTTTTAACATTTATTAAAATACTTTAAATAAAAAAATTCAATATCACAAATATCTTTTTACACCACGAAAGTACATACACTAATAAAACTTTCACCTTCAACATTCACAAATTAGCAGAAATTACATTAGCATTCACAAACTAGCAGATACATTCAACAGATTGAGCAGAAATGAGCACCTTAGGCAAAAATGGGAAGAAATGTGATATTTTAATATAAAGTGCCAATTAGAAAGAAAAAAAATCAATAAAATATTTGAATCTGATCACAAATAATTATAATGTTAAAGAGCCTTACATAAAAAAATTATGCTATAATACATATCCTATTCTGTAACACATAAATTTAATTCTTTAAGACATGTTTTCTTAGAGGTATGGAAACAAGGGAATATATTGAAAAACATAATGGTGGATTCAATACTTTTAATAGAATTTTTGTTTCATAACAAAAGAAATGTGGTTCCCAATTTCTTTCGGCTACAGAAACTTAAATGGTAGAGCTTTTTATGAAAGAACTCCGGCTTTAAAAAAAATACTCATTAGCAGCAGTGAACATGCAATGAAAAATAATAAAAATATTAATTTGGAAACATTTATAAAGACTGAAATTTATTAATTGTGTCACCAATAATTTATAGGTCTCCAGCGGCTTTTTGCCTAGTAGTTTTCGGCATATACGTAAATCATATCGAATAAAATAAGACGAATTATGGTCAAAAGATTTCTTTTAAACTGTTAGAATGGCTATCGGATAAAAATAATTATTTATTCTTGAAATTGGTAATTATATTTTGAATTTTAAAGTTTTATTAGAGATACTTAACTTAACTAGAACTTATTAGAGATACTTAAGACTAGAAATAATTATGGAAATTATTTTTTTGAACTAAACTATATCATTTCTTTTTTCATTTAAAAATTTCACAAGAACAACGGAAACATTAAATAAATTAGAGTGACCTATTAAAGGTCTTAAAAATAATTAGTGATTAAAATGAAAAGTTTTACAACTTTTGGGAACACTGGAACATAAGCAAATAACAATAATGGCGTTTACTATTAGTTCATTCTTATTTGCCAGAAATATGACAAGATATTGGATATGACATGCCATATATATGTATGGCTTAAATGATAGGATTCTTAATCATCAAAAATCCAGAAATTTTAAGCAGAGCTTAGAAATATTTGGTACTATAAGATTAATAAAAATTACAATAATATATGCCTCCAACTACTAAAGAACTACTGTAATTCCAGAAAATATTTTTCTTAGAGGTAGCAAAATTAATATAATAATAATAGTTCAATAAATTAGAACTAAAATAGGGTTGCAAAGAAAATTACATTAAGCTGGTTTTTAAACCAAAAGCCTAAATAATAATTATGATATAAAATAAATATCAATAGAAATAAGTATTAAAATGATACAAATTCAATCTTCAAAATATTGTTTTCAATAAATTTGTCATGAGACTAATGAAATGAGCAATTCTAAAACATGACAAAGTAACACTAATTGTAAGTGAAAAACCCTGAAAATTTTATGCGCACTAATTCTATACCAAGATATAAATTTATATACCATATATATTTCACGCTTAACATATTCTTTTGAACTACGATTTATAACAGGGTGAGTAGCCAAATTTTTCAAATAAATAAATAAAATAAGCACCTTTTAATCACTCAAAAAATATTTCTGAAAACGTTGAATAGGACAATGTCTTTTTGCAAAATTTGTGACGAAAATCAACATGGTAAAGAAAAATATCACATTTCGGAAAAAGGAAAATTAAGCACTTTTTAAAAACACCCAAGCCTCTTTAGGGGCTTTTAAAAAACAAAAATAAGAAAATTTAAGCACTTTTTTAAAAAGGCTACGCACCCTGTATAACTAATTTACCTACCAATGAAGAATAGCACATCTTTAAAGTAACTAATTTAAGAAGTTTTTACAAGAATCCCAATAGTGGATTTTAAAATCGAGGGAAGCTGACCGGGGTGTAAGCTCATGACAAGGAATGGATGTTTTTTTTTCATTTTCTGTACTATTTGTCCTTACTGTGGGAGCAAC